AGTTATATTCCCTTCGAGAGTCTGAAGGGCCATGCCCTCTTCTCAGGAAAATCTGGACAGAATTTTACCTCTAGTTTCAGGGGGTTCTTGGAGTCCCTAGAAATCCATCTCTGGGCACTCTAGGGTCAATTGAAAACCTCACCTCAGGTTATCTCATTGATGTGAGAAACATCTTTTTAGATACGTTTGTAGGCATAGGCATTTAACAGATATGTTTGGAGAGTTCTTTAAAATCTATCTTGAGGATTATTTAAAAAGAAATATCCTTAGTCTCAAAGGCATAGTCTTTAGATTTTTTTTTTTAAGCTAAGTGAACTGTAAAAACCTCCATTGCTACTTAAAATGGGTGACTACTTTTTGGCTTTTCTTGGGAAAGATTTTCCTTTAGGATCTGTAAGTGAGTTTATGGTCACCTTAGGATGTAATGCTTTTCATTAAGGGATTAAATTCCTTTACTTCGTGTAATAAAATCCTGATGAACACTGGTGGGAGGGAGTATTCTAATTGAATTTTCAGTTAACTCAGTATTGACCAGACGACTTACACTGAAAATCTTTTCAGTGCATTCTTAGTAAATACTGTGCTTTAGGATTTTGTAGGACATAGGTCATCATTTTGATTATCATTATATACAGTAAAATTATAAAAGATGAATCTCAACTCCTGGGCATTGTTTAGAAGTTAAATATTCAGCCATAAACCAAAGAACAAAAACAGAAATTTAAGTTTTCTTTACTGTGCACTAAACATTCTAGAAATCTGATTGTGTCTATGTCGGTTTGTATACTGTGTGTAAGAATATATGCATTTCTTTTGTAGCCACGTCATGAATATTTTAATGTCCCTGTGTACTAAATGACTACTCATCGTGTATGCAGAATTTCACAGAGGAAATAGAGAGCTGATATACTTATGAAAGAAAATATCCTCAGCTTGGTGACTGATTATCTTGTATAATAATAATAGAACATTTCAGAACCAACACCTTTACGTTGTAATTTTTTTCCTGTTCTTATTCCTCTTTTCTGTTTTATTTTCATTCTATGTGTGATCTTCATACAGGTTATGCCTGCTCGCAGCTGGTTTAATTTCTTCTTGAAAAAATATGACTTATGAGTGTTTTGAGTAATATTTCATCTTAAACACATAAATGTCATCATTTATGAACCATCTGTGATTAATCTTGTAAGAGGAAAACCTAGCAATCGTTAAAATGTTTACCAAAGAAAATACAGCTGAAATGCTAGGTCAAAATAAGGAGTGCCATAATATATAGTGTGGTTTGGTCTTCAAATGTTGGGGGAAAAAACCCAAACTATAGTTATTGAGTGTGATTATATTACATTACAGTCTATATGAGCCTAATGTGTTCTAATGTATCACATAAGTGTATTTGGAAATAATACAAGAAAGTAAAATCTGTACTATTATATAATATTTAAGGTAAAACATTCACAGTTTCTAGGTAATTTGTAGTGCCACATTTATTGAATCACATTTGTGCTGTATAATATTGAACAATCCCTTTAAGAACTATCAGAAAGCTATGTCAAAAGTCTCTTCGGCAGTATCTATTGTTCAATAGTAAGTAACTCTTTCAAAGTATTGATACTGAGTTTATTTATATAGTTAAAATTCTAATATTCGATTTAAATACTATTTGACTAGTTATGGTTTTATATTAAGTCTTCATTTAAATACTTAATGATTTGTTAATTACGGTTTTATCTTTCTAGTAAAACCTTTAATATTATTATTTTGTATACTTTAATAAAACATGCAACATATTTTATAAAAGGAAAAGTACCAAATAATTCATTGTTTATATCTAGAGTGGTTAAAGCCTGAGTTAACTAGGCTATCATTAAACAACGAATTCAAAAGATGCTCAAACTGGTTGACCACTGAAAGAAGACCCATGGAAGTGTGTATTAGGCAGGTGTGCAGATCAGTTATTTCCACTCTGACCATTCTCGCTTGTATGGCATTACATGTGAAGCACCTGGATGGGCTGTCAAATGAGAAATTTAGCATCAAACATTGAAAGCACTCGGAAACATTGGTCTTTCATTTCCATTTTTTCCTCCATCCCTCGCCTTGCCGTGCAGTATGTTATTCATCTGGTTTTAATGATGCATAAATATGCACTGTCTCATGCCTGTTTGCTTTGGATGCCGTGTGCTGAGCTGTAACAAGATGTTGCTTCTTTTGTTATCTGTATAACAGCTGCTTGCTTTAAATTAGTAGATTCTGAAATAGCTTGCCTTGCATGTCTAAAATAAAAGTATTGCATGTACTTTGTCTCATGTGAATGACTTTTTTCTTCATCCCTTTGATGATGTATTTTATATTTTAGTTTTTATAAGTCATGGTAAAAAACACGTAACAGAATTTACCAGCTTAACCATTTTTAAGTGTACAGTTCAGTAGTGTTAAGTATATTCGCATTGTTATGCAACAGATCTCCAAAAGTTGTTCATCTTGCAAGACTGAAACTCTGTACCCATTAAACAACTCCCCATTTTCCTTTCCCCTCAGCTCTTGGCAACCACCATTCTACTTTCTGTTTCTATGAATTTGACCACTTTAGATAATAGTTTTTCTAGGTAATTTTGAGCTACAATTTCAGTGTGAGCATGTGAAAATTACATTTTATAGTATAAACACAATTTGTAAAAAAAAAAACTCTAATGTACTATTTGTACAAGTCTCAAAGGAATAGAATGTGAAAATGATCCTTTGAAACCAGGCCTTTTAGAAAGTACAAATATTTTAAACAATGTATATTTGATAAACAACATGGTTCTCTTCAAGAAATGCTGTATAAGATTGCAGGCAGTGAGCACACGGGGGAGCATCCGACCAGCTCTGGGCGATAGGATGGGAAGCATTTTTACATGGATAAGCTAATAACGTTAACTGTATAGGATTCAATGTAGGCATCCTTAAATACATTAGAGGTTGTATGATGTTTTTAAAAATTAACATCAGATGAAAATGATTATTTTTAAATTGTTTCCTTTAATATCTATGTGATTCAGATGTCAGTGTTTCGGTATATTTAATGCTTAAAGCTTAACATTATAAATGAAAGAGATTGTCTTACATCACTCTTGGGAGTGCTGCATCATTTCCATTAGACTTTCTTTAAAAACTGTATCACGAAAACTCCAAGACATGCAAATAGAAGAGTATAAGGCACCCTCGCCTATGCATCCCTCAGCTTCAGCAGCCATCGACTCAATGCTCTTCATACTAACTTGTTTCATCCACCATCGCCCTCCCGTTTTTGCCTCAGCATTTTAGAGCAGGCCCTAGACAGGCTATCATTGCACCTTTAATACTTCAGTATGGATCCCTAAGACAAGTACCACACCCAAAAACTAACAACAATTCCTACTATCTTATTCCTGGTTCAGTTTCCTAATTGTCTGAAAAATGCATTTTTATAATTGGTTCATTAGAATCAGATCCCAAACAAGGCTCACATTGTACCTGGTTGATGTCTCTTAAGTCTCTTTTAATCTTTAACAACTCCTCTGCGTTTTTCCCCTTTGCCATTTTTTTTTAACTGAGTCACCTATGCTGTGGAATTTCCTCTCTTCTGTGTGTGGCTGGTTGTAATCTTGTGGTGATGTTTAACTTGTTTTCAGATCCTCCATGTATATTTAGATCTGTAGCCTGGTAGGTTGAGGTTCAATTTTGGGGGGCAAGAATACTTCATAAAAAATAGCCTTTTTTCACCAAAGCTGATTTTTACCCACTTTTCATTAATACACAAACATGCTAAAAGGTCATCATATGAACTTTATATAGAGACTTGGTTTATGGTACTTCATTTAGTACTCAGTGCTAAATGGCTTCATTTCGATTTCAGTTGTGTAGCAATAGCAGCTAACATTCCTTGAGCACTCTCTCTAAGTCAGGCGCTAAGCCTTATCTCCCTTAATCTCTACACAGGAAGGTAAGTACTATGATCCTTGTTTTCTAAAAAAAGGAAACAGACCCGAGAGTTTAGTCATTACTTAAGATTATTCCATGTAGTGCTTTACATACAATGAAATCTAATGTGTGGATTTATGGTTTAATATAATTTTTCTTTTCCTTGTTTTGTGCTGTACCACAATTAGGATGCAAAAGTAAGTTAATTTATTATTGGATACTAAAAATTACATTGTTTTCCTCCATTAAAATATAGTATTCCTTTTAATTACAAAATTGTTGCTACTAATACCTGAAATTTGACCCACTGGGTACTTTTTTATTTTGTGATTTGCAAAATCAGCCACTTTGGAAAATTTTTAAATAATTTTTTTCTAGATATGCCTGCTTTGTCTTCCTTTGACATTTAAAAATGAGTATTGCTTGTTACATAGGACAAAAATGCCTTTTGTCCCAGAGCATTCTTTCTGTATGTTGCCTCCACTGAAACCATTGGTTGCCCTGGGGAGGTCTGGGAAGGTGAGTTTCTGAAGCCTTGCTGCTGGGGACAGTTAAGTCTTAAGTGAAAAACTGAGTAAAAACTCAGGGAGACATTTCTATAAATACATGTGACAAAAAAAAAAATAAACATGGAAAACAAAATTATGTGAAGAATTGGGGAAAACTCAGGAGGTTTTGCCTGCTTTTTATTTAGGGGAGGTTTTGAATTTTGCCACTAAGATAACTCACCTTTCCTGTAGATAATTCAGTAGCAATGATTTTCTAAATTGCCAGTGGGTTCGAGGTGGGTTTGACTGCTTTTTGTGTTCCAGCAACGGTGCGCGCACATTGGTAGGTAATCAGTAGGTATTTAGTGCATGCTGAAAAAATATCCTTCTGTGGTCTCCAGTGTTTGGGCGCAAAACCCTAAGTAACCACCAGCTCTCAATAGTAGAATGCGCCCATACCACGGAACTGCTTGCATTCTTCTGTGAAACTTGCCCGCCCTTCGGTGTCAATTTCACATTCTCAAGCCTCCCCAGATCTGCTTACCAGAGTCTCACATTTTCCCTCCACAGGAAGCTGAAACCCCACGTAGTGTTCTTGAAGAAATTGGACTGACATAACTCTCCTCCCTTGTTGATGACTTCTTGTGGCATTTCACACACTGTAGATGGTCACTGCCTTCATGTCCATGTTAGCTAATCGTGTAAGATGATGTCTTGTCAGTATTACTGTTTTGCTAAGCTGCTTCATTCAGGCCTACACAAGTTTTTTTTTTTTAAGGGAACTTTGGCTAATCAAGTGGTAACTTAAGGGACTTAAATATCAATTAGAATGATGCAGAAAAAGCAAAGTACCTTTTCTGAATATTTTAAAGTTTATAGGTCTATTTCTCTATGTGTATCTATGAAAATGACACAATCAGGCAATATACATTTCTTCATTACTGTCTTTGGCAAAGGAAACTTAAATTATAAAGTGAAACCTGGTTTCATGAAACCAAAGACTCGTGCAGTATTTCAGTATATATGAGAATAAAGGGAATTGATATGTGACATATCGAATGAAAATTTAACCATGTTGAAACTTAAAAAAAAAAATACCAAATTTATACCAAAGACCCTTATTCGAAACTACATACCATAAAACAAAGGGAATACACAGATGACTAAACTGGAACAATGCTGTTTTACACTAAATATTTTCTTAGACATTCTGAACCGGGGACGAGGAACAGTGATCAACCGTTTCATAATAGTGAGCACATTATTTTTAAGGCCAAGGAACATTTGACTCCTGAGATAAATTATTTGTGGTCATAATCATTTAGTCACTTAGTTGGATTGTTTTTCGTGCCCCAAAATAAAATGGAAATGTTGACAACCAGGAATTCTTCATAACAGTATCTTACAGAAAATGTGTTACTCTCTTCCCAAAGTGTTGTGTAAGTCATTAAAGCACGAATATTCCTTCTGGGGTGCTTGTTACAGCTAAATTTATTTTGCTCCCCTATTGATTCCCTCCACTTGTAAGTAAGTGGTGTAAACTCTGGGGCAGCTTCCTTCCCTCCCATGGCACTGCCTAGTTATCAGAAGTCTTATATAAACAGACACCACCTTTCATATAAAGTGAGAGTTGAATGAAGTAAAATGGCGTTAGTGGGGCCCTCTATTTTTTAAAGCTCTACAGTTGTTTCCACGTCACTTTTTTACATACTTCTAGGTATGTAAACATGTCTTCACGGCTTACACTTTCATTTGTATCTGCTGGGCTGGACTAAGCTTTGTTGTGATTGTGACCGATATTCAGGTCACGTGAGCATTGTCTTATCACATCGCCAATTAGTTGTAATAAATGTTCAACGTACCCCACTGTAGTGTGTTTTTATCTCTTTCCAAAAGTTTGTCAAACTATGGAGAGCTGCTGAGGAAGAATTTTTAATTTTTTTTCAGTAAAATGTTGAAAATTCATCTCCATTTGAACGTGGTTGTTAAAAGCACACACACAAGATAATTGGTGGAAGATTTAAGGAGTCTTCATGTACTTAAAGCTCATTAAAAAATAATGTGGATTCCATGCTACTGAGAGCTTATCTACACATTTATTTTCGATCAATAAATGCCGCTTTTAAAACCTTGATGCAGTTGACTTTTCTACTCTTTCTGAATGAACAACTCAGATTACTCCAGGTAACCAAAGGTGTTCCAAATCCACTGGATTCCCCCCAGGAACTGGAGGTGCTAGCACAGCCGCCGAAGTGGACTGAGATTTGCAAACTACTGCCTCATATAAGCAGCAAAGCTTTGGTTATCATGATAGTTAAAGGACCTCCTATTATACAGATGGGAGATGTTACATACTAAAACGAGGATATTTAAGAATGGGGAAACAACTACCACCAAATTAAGTTGCTAGTCTGCTAAAAAAAAAAAGATACTTGTTGACCTAAAGAGCCTCCAATACGCAGCTATTTATTCACTGAAAACAGGCCTATGGGCTTCTGCTGGCAGTGTAGAGTTGGAATTTTTGAATCATAAATAGTAATCAGGTTATAAGTTTAAAAAACACATTAGTACATGTAAGTTCAAGATGGACATTTATCAGGATAATGAACAGTGATTTAAAAACTGCTCCTTCCTTCCCCCCATACCACACTGCCCATTAACACTTGAGGGAAAAGTCACGAACATCTCATAATTACCTTGAGCACAAGCTGGTGTTTATCTTATTTTTTCCCTCTATGATCTATTAAGACTATTCAGCTTTGAATACCACATTTAATTGTGTATTGGCTGTATTTAGGAAAGTATTGAAAAATAATGAATTTAGCGATAATTCTTCAGCATTAGTGAATCCAGTAGTTAATTACAGAAAAATTTCAATCATTTTTAGGGTAAAGCAGGCATTTAAAGTCCGGAACAAATCAATATTTAAAGTAAAATGTATTCTAGCCCACATATTTCCTTTCCTTTGTAGAATACAGATTAAAGAACTCTCATTTTCAACAGATATCACTCAGAAATCCCAATCTTGAAGAGATTTCTTTTATCTGATTTCTGGTAAGTTAAGTTCAGTATTTTGTGCATCCTTAAGTGCTTATTTCCAAATCTCAAGTTGCCAAATGCCTCATACTCTGAAATTCAAGATCCCTAGTATGTCAATGGAAAGGAAGTTCCTAAGAAAATAAAATATTTATAAGGAAGTGAGAGCATCTTTTTTTATGATCTGAAAATCAAAGAACGATATTTTGCCTTAAGCTTTTTTTACAGAAGGTTCTCTGACCACTCTTCTCTTTTACCAGAATTGCTTTAATGCTAGGCATATTCAGTAGCAATGTCCCTAATTTTCCTGAAAATGACAAAAATAAGACATCTATATGAAGAACTCTCCAACACACTATAAAAAAGATGAACACCCTAATGGAGAGCCTCCAGCTGAGGAGGGACCGCAAATATGGGGGTGGAGGGAGGGGGAATTGACTCTATCCTTTAGTACTTTAAAACCGAGAAAGTGAACTTTAAAAAGCTGTTCAGTTATTGCATGTAGAAAAATCCAATAGATTATTAATAAAGGGCAAGCAACCAAATTTAATGGCATTAAATGCAGAAAAAGGTGTTTGGCTTAGCCAATACATACAGAAACCAACAGTTAAACACATAAAATTTACCAAATTGGCAAAGATTAAAGTAACTTGGTGTTGTGGGAACAGCAAAATTTATTGTTGATAAATTTTTTGTAGTCTTTCTGGAGGGCAATTTGAAAATACTTCCGTATTCCTATCTCTTGATGTAATTTATCTTAAGGAAATGATCAGAATGTGTGCAAGGATTTAAGGAAATCCACCACAGGATGGATTGTTTACAGCACAGGATTCTTTAATAGTACAAAATTAAAAATAACTTAAAAATCCAACAATACGGATATGGTTGAATAAACTGAGAGATCCACACTATGCAGTGAGTAAAGATAACATTAAGAATAGGGCTTGATGAAATATGAGAATGTTTTGTGTGAAAAAAAGCATATTCAACTGTAGCCATATATGATCTTGATGTAAAAAAAGTGTGTACACACCCATAAGAAGAGAAAAAAGACTAGAGCAATGCTCCAGTGTTAACTGGTTGTTAACCTTTAAGAGTTAGGATTACAGCTAATCTTCATGTTATTTATATATTTTATGTTTTCTAGGTTTTTTCATACTAAACACACTGTGATTATCAGAGAATAAAAGTATTTTTAAATAGGGTTCCAGGCTACATAGGGTTCTGCAAGACTTGCTAACCCATTTGAGCTCAGAACCCTCTATCCAAGTATGTAGCAGTCGTAATAAATAAGATACACATTCATTTAAGAACAAAATAGCTTTATTTGGATTTGGGACTATGAATAGTTCTGTCTCTGCTACCTGACCTCCTCCCACCATGACTCCTGGACCTCGAGGAGCTCCGGCTCCGGCGGCTCTGGCTTCGGCTGCCCCGGCCCCGGCTGCGGGCCCTTTTTCTTCCTCCACTCCGTGAACTGTGCCTTTCCCGACTTTTTGACGTGTGTTTGTGAGATTTCTTCCCTCTGTGACTACTTCTCCTTTTTCTCTCTGCTTCCCCATTTCTTTTGTAGGAATGGGCCGGGCTAGGGCTTCTCCTCCTCCTCGGCCTGCTGTAGTATTTGTCATGGTGGCCCATCCTCTCTCTCCTCTCCAAGTTCTTACTGAAGGAGGAGCCAGTCCGATCTGGAGACAGGTAGATGTCTCTGTTGGCTTCCCAAAATTCATTGTTGGGATTTCTGAACACATGGAGAAAGTTGCAGTGTTTTCCTCTTGGACATTGTTGTATTTCAAATAAACCTGCAATGGCACAGTAAGGACATAGCATTTATGGCTGGCACCTTATCCTTTTTAGAAGGTACATCTCTGATGTTCAAACATGATAGAACTATTTTCTCCTGTGTATTACTTAATTTACATAAATTGATGTCATAATTTTGGTTCCCAGAATTTCAAAAACATTCAATGCTCTAACAAATGGCACTGTGGAAAGTAACAAATCAGAAGTCTGAATTAACTAGACTACCCCTTTCCCCTACTCGATTCCAGTGTGGAGTGCAACCAAACAAATGGTGGCCACGTTATTTTTTCTAGGGTTTCCATCCCACTGATTGACAATGTAGATCCCTAATTAACATTGAAGAACCAACCCTCGGAGCCCCCGTGGCAGCGTGCTTTGAGGGCGTGGTGGCAGCAGGACAGATCCCTAGCCAAGAGAGAGAGCCTATTATAAGTGAAGGATCCTGTATTTTCCTTTACACTTTAAGAAGATGATACACATTGGCCTAATGCTTTAAATTTACCAAGTGCTTCTAATATGGAAGATTCTTGTCCAAGGTGAAATCTACTTGAACTTAGAGGTCCTTTTGGGGTTTTCAAGGTTTTTTTTTTTAAAGCAATAAATTCTCCAACTATGTAAAACAGTTAAAAGTGAAATACCTCCATACTACCTACTATATACAAAAAGTCAGGGAAAATGGATCAGAGTCCGAAATGTAAGACATGAAACTATAAATCTCTTTGAAGAAAACATACAAGTAAATCTTCGTGACATTGAGCTAAGCAATGGATTCTTAGATATGACACCAAAAGCACAAGCAAAAAAAGAAAAATAAATAAATTGGACTTCATCAAAATTAAAAACTTACATGCTTCAAAGGAAATGATCAAAGTGAAAAGACAACCCACAGAATGGGAGAAAGTATTTGCAAATCATATCTGTAATAAGGGACTTGTCTGTAGAACATATCAAGAACTCTTATAACTCAATAATAAAAAAATATAATACCTAATTAAAAATTGGCAAAGTATCTGAATAGACATCTCTCCAAAGAAGATACACAAATTGCCAATAATAAGGACATGAAAAAATGCTCAACATCATTAGTTACTAGGGAAAATAACAAAGCTGTTATTTAAAAAAACAAGTGAAATAGTCTCCTGCTTTGGGGGGGTCAAAGTCACACTCAGAAGCACCTCACTGAAATCACACTGGCCCTCCAGGAGCTGACAAAAGTAACCGCTTTTATGGAGAAACAGATCCATCTTTTTCAGCCCCCAAGCCTTTAAACTTAAGGTGTAAAGCAAGGAATTCTAAAATCTTTTTTTTTCCTTTCAATAAATGATTTTATTTATTTATTTTTTTTAAGATTTTATTTATTTATTTATTTTCCCCCCAAAGCCCCAGTAGATAGTTGTATGTCATAGCTGCACATCCTTCTAGTTGCTGTATGTGGGACGCGGCCTCAGCATGGCTAGAGAAGCAGTGCGTTGGTGCGCCCGGGATCCGAACCCGGGCCACCAGCAGCGGAGTGCGAGCAACTAACCGCTAAGCCACGGGGCCGGCCCAATAAATGTTTTTTAAGTGACAGCTTCCATTAAGACCAGGTTGCCAAAGATTCAGACTTTATAGATTTTTAAATAAGGTTTTAAGCAAGTGCGTGCAAAGCAAAGGGGAAGAGAAGTGCCCCAGGAGGCATGGGGGGAGCTCCGTCTCTTTGCTTCCAGGTACTTCCACAATAAACAGTTTGGCTAAGCCCATCTGATAGAAATCAAAACAGAATGAGCCCTTGGGGCCGGCTCCGTGGCTTAGCGGTTAAGTGCTCGAGCTCTGCTACTGGCGGCCTGGGTTCGGATCCCGGGCGCGCACTGACGCACTGCTTGTCCGGCCATGCTGAGGCGGCGTCCCACGTACAGCAACTAGCAGGATGTGCAAGTATGACATACAACTATCTACTGGGGCTTTGGGGAGAAAAACGGGGAAAAAAAAAAAAAAAAACAGAACCAGCCCTTCAGAACTGCTGGCTACTCAGAGGACTGACTCATTTCCTGATCGGAGGCCACTGTACGATGAGTCAGGCCGACTGAACTCGCCCTCACCAGATCCTCCAGCTATAATCAGTCTCTCCTGCCCCAAAGCATGTATTTCAAGTAAGGCAGGAAATGTTATAGGTAATGTTTTAGCTGGCAGAGATGACAGAAGATTCAGTAGGGATAAAAGTGGGGAAAAAACAGCTCCAGTGAGGGGAGCCAATGAATAGAAAACACTTCTGAAACAGGGGAAAAAAGTCATCATGTTGTATTTTACCACAAATTGCCATCTTCCATTGGGTCACCGGGCAGAATTCGCACTGAAGCTGGCGTCCTGCATACCACCGTCCATTAAACAGAGAGAGGGCTGTTTGGCATTCTTCTTCCCTTTAAACCACAAATTAAAAGATGCACTTTACAGCAACTTTCTAACATGTAGATTAATCCTATTGTTCATTAACCCTTTTATTAGTTTATTGTAGGACCACCAAGTCCACTGCTTCTGTACTACCTATGGCATCCTCAAGAGAGCATTCAAGCTCCTAAAGCTCACAGTTTATTCAGGAACCCTTTTTACTAACCCTCGGAGAGGTTCGGATGCATGGAAATTGGCTTGAGTCAAAGCTTCTTAAACCAAAAGACTGGACCATTAAAAATGCAGAAGCGTTTTCCATTGTCAGAGCCTGTTCTTTCTCAGCTTGGATGCTGTTCTTGTTATTACAATGGTGAATTTAACCCATTAGTCATGGCACGGCCCAAGCAAACAGCAAGACAAGCAGAAATGATACATTAACTGCTTTCTTAGTGGGCCAAATGCACGCTGAGATTACTTGGGGCTTCAATTTCTGGCTCTTTCAATTTATACTTTTCTATTCTCTGTTCTAGTTATCCCTTTTCTGTTTGTATTTTAACTATTAAAATTATATAAGTAAAAAAACTATATTGTAAAAGATTCAAAACTATGTAAGTATACAAAGAATGAAATACAAATGTATTATTTTCTAATCTCTGCTATATTTCTATATCAGCTCTTAAAATTTACATTTTTAAAAATACTACATATGAAAGCTATATATTTAGTGGAAAAATCTCAGAGGTCAACATAATTACAACACTATACTGACAAAACATAAAGATGTTTATGTTCAGAATACTTACGATTGATATTGAACATACACATTGCCCCTCAGATGAGGTTCCAAGTTGCAGCTGACCTAAGGAGCAATGAAGAAGTCTATCATTAAACAAAAAACAACTAAGGAAAAGAAGCCCACCAGTCATCAAATGCACTTTGTCCAGGCCAACAGTACCAAAAGTAGCTATCAATTGAAGATTCCAAAATCGAGATACCACCCCACTCTCACGTCTATTTGAGGCATACTTCAGCACACAGCAGGCCCCAATTACTGATCCCTGTTGATCCAGATTCTGTTTTTTTCATAGATATGAAATGTCTCACACATGCATAAAAATACAGAGAACAGAAATCAGCCCACATATACACCACTCAGATTTAACACTAACATTTTCCATTTTTGACTGAGAACGTTTAAATACGTAAAATATTAAGGACCCAGTCAAAGCCCTTCCATCTAGTTCTTCTCCCTCCTCCATCACAGAGATGAGCACTAACCTGAGGCTGGGCATCTCCTTCACATTCCAAACACACACACACTCCTGTCTACAGAGACACAAGTATCCATAGCCACACACACACACACACAGGCATAGACACATATATCATATGCATGCCATAAAAGATATAGATTATGTATAGATATAAATAGAAATGTATGTCTATTATGTATATATGAGTATACACATATTTATGTATACATATGTAAATATGTATATATATTGATAAACAATGTATAGTATTGTTTTGTACATTTTAAAATTTTGTATAAATAGTATTTATTCCACATTCTTGTTTCAAAATGTAATCATGTAAATTTAATGACTCATTTTAACTACTGTATACTAGATATGTCAAATTATCAATTTATTTATCCACTCCTCTAATGATAGATATCCAAGGTGCTTCCAATTTCTCATCAATAAACAGTGCTGCAGTGAGCATTCCGGACTGCATCTCTGCGGGTGTGAGGATTTCTTGAGTGTGCATAACCAGAAGGAACGTGCCAATTTGTAGGCTACGTGTACCTTCAACTTCACCAGGTACTCACAAACTGCTCTTTGAAGTGGTTTTACTAATTTACACATATCTTCGCCCACTCTTGGTATTAATAGCGTGTATAATTTCTTACCTGATAGGTGCGAATAATATCTCCCTTTTTTTGTGTATGAGGAAGATTAGCCCTGAGCCAACATCCATTGTCAATCCTCCTCTTTTTTGCTGAGGAAGATGGGCCCTGGGCTAACATCCGTGCCCATCTTCCTCTACTTCATATGGGACGCTGCCACAGCATGGCTTGATAAGCGGTGCGTGGGTCCGTGCCCGGGATCTGAACCCGAGAACCGCTGGCCGCCGAAGCGGAGCGGACAAACTTAACCGCTACGCCACCAGGCCGGCCCCACAATATCTCATTTTAATATGCACTGTTCCTATGTACTAGTTAGGTTGAACATTTCTTTTTTTTTTTTTTTTTTTAATTTTTATTTATTTATTTTTCCCCCAAAGCCACAGTAGATAGTTGTATGTCATAGCTGCACATCCTTCTAGTTGCTGTATGTGGGACGCGGCCTCAGCATGGCCGGAGAAGCAGTGCGTTGGTGCATGCCCGGGATCCGAACCCGGGCTGCCAGTAGCGGAGCGTGCGCACTTAACCACTAAGCCACGGGGCCGGCCCTAGGTTGAACATTTCATCATTTGCCTTCAAAAATGACAAATCTGATTTGGTTTTATATAATGGTATAAAAAGGTCCTCAAATATTCATACTAATGTTTAGCTTTTATTTTCAAAATGAATCTATAATTTTACAAATTCATTCCAGAGCATTTTTATTAAAGCATCCAAAAAGAGGCGGGACCTGCAGTGACTGACAGTTTGTAACACCACCCTTAGAAGGAAGACTGAAAGGCCTCAGGAGGCCATGGCAACTGTGCCAGGGACCTTAGAGATCATTTAAGCCAGTGATTCCCAAGGACCCATTATGAATTTTCCATGACGAATTTGATGTTCTGGAAATTTTCCTAATAAAAATTTACTAAACAGCTTTCCATTTATAACTGCCAGTGTGATTAGCACGAGCTTGGCTGACAGAATTCTAAACAAAAGGAAAACATACACGGTGGTTAGCGGGTGTGGCCTGACGCAGGTAACACTGTGACTCCCACTAACCAGTCGGAAGTTTTGAGAGCAGCTCCACCACTAACTTCACGGAAGCACTATAATGTAGGCACCAGCGAGGGAAACGACTGATGTTGTCTAATCCCCTTACTTTCTGGATGAGGCAAAGGCATGAACAGGTAAAGTGACACGTTTGAGAGCCCAGAGCTAGTCAAAGCACACTGGCTCCTCGGCAGCGCTTCTAACGTGGTACCGTGTCGTGTGTGGCCAGGCGCTTCCACTGGAGTGTTTATTGGTTGTGTTGAGAAGTAGTGCGAAGACAGGAAGGCCCCCGCAAGAGAAACAAAAGGTAAAGGGGAAAGAGAAATTGTAAAAGAATTTTTAAAAATCTTGAAATCAGTAGAAAGAAGTATAGACTTGAATTCCACAAGTGCTGCTGGTTAGCATGGCTCTGTTCCTTGGCTGTTCCACCTTTCCACTGTCATTTCCAACTGGCAGAAACAAACCACAGCTTTATTCCTATCTTTTTCCAAATTATGGGACATTTTCCCCACCCTAACAACAAAATTATTCAGGTTCAGATCTGATCAAATCACAGACAAAGTAGGTGGCTTCACTATGTTAGGAGTCAACTACTGGGTCCAGGAGCAGCAGCTATTACATCTGACTTGACTCTTGCCTTAAGGAATGTTTTAAAATAATTCTGTGTAATCTGAATGCCTCTTTTTCACCCCATATGCTGCATCACCTGGCGGTCTAGTGGTTAAGATTCAGCGCTCTCACCGTTGCAACCCGGCTTCCACACACCCATCTGACAGTTGTCACACTGTGGCAGCTGCGTGTGGCTGTGATGCTGAAAGCTATGCCACCTATATTTCAAACACCAGCAGGGTCACCCATGGTGGACAGGTTTCAGCGGAGCTTCCAGACTAAGACAGACTAGGAAGAAGGGCCTTGCCACTCACTTCCAAAAAAATTGGCCACAAAAACCCTATAAATAGCAGTGGAGCACAGCAGCAGAGCATTGTTTGATAGAGCGCCGGAAGGTGAGAGGATGGAGCAAAAAGACCAGGCAAGGATCTGCTCTGCTGTCCACAGGGTCACTAGGAGTCAGAATCCACTCCACGGCACTAACAACAATGCTGCATCACAAACGACGACTTTGGGAACACTACGTTCAGTATTGCAAGTATCCAATGAATAAAAACAAGGTAAAAAAAAAAAAACGAATAAAGATTTCCGTTCTTGGGTAGCTCCAGCAAAAAAAAACATGCACCTTGGGTGGAAGTTGTAAGCAAGTCCCATCAACACAATGCAACAACAAGGGCACTCCACCTGGAAAGTGGAGTAAGTGCAGTGGTGTTACACTGTGTACACTGCAGCTCTAGATGAGACCAGCTACAGAGGAAGGGAGGGAGTGCATTCCCCATCATATGCAGCCTCTAAGGGAATGCTGGGACTGCTATCTGCAGAGGACCTTACGCAGAGAATTCATTGGCTGGAAGAGTTGGACCATAAAGGTACTGAACAGATGAAGGATCCTTTCCAGTCTAGACCCTGGCACCCAGGAACTTGTGCTAGTACATGTTTATGATTTCACAAACTACCTCTACTGCATCAGTAATGAGGGGGGTGGAAAGGGAGAGAGAAGGAAGTAACATGTACTGAGTACTTGGGTGCCCGACATCCCCCACCCAGGCAGAGGGCCCGTGCCCTAGCTCTCTCCTCCTACCAGGTACTTTGGCGGGAAGCAAACCAATGCATTACGCATGCCCACCTTGAACTGGATCACTTTCCCCACGTTCTTGAACTCAGGGAGCACGTCGTCATAGAAGTCCAGGAACTGCTGGTAGGTTTCCTCTTCGCTGTACTCCAGGCTGGCGTCGGGGTCATAGTCATCCCTTCTGCACTGCTCCATTCCAAACGTTGTAAACATGCTTTTAATAAGAAGGGTGGGACTCGATGCTGGGAAATTGTGTTTACGTGAACACCTGAATATGAAAGAAAAACTTAAATTCAGTAGTCCGATGGTTAGAAATTACACATAAAAAGCTTGCTTTAAACTTTGAGATAAAGACTCAAGTAACTTGGCTGTTTTAATTGTAAGATAATAAACCTCATTCAGACATCAAATTTCAACACTTGGGGCCGGCCGGGTGGCGCAAGTGGTTAGGTGCGCGCCTTCCACTGTGGTGGCCCAGGGTTCGCCGGTTCGGATCCCGGGCATGCACCGACACACCACTTGTCAAGCCATGCTGTGGCGGCGTCCCATATAAAGTAGAGGAAGATGGGCACAGATGTTAGCTCAGGGCCAGTCTTCCCCAGAAAAAAGAGGAGGATTGGCATCAGATGTTAGCTCAGGGCTGATATTCGTCACACACACAAAAAAAATTTCAACACTTAAGAAAACTGTTCTAAGACTGACCAATATATTGGCTCTCATTAAAATGTAAAGTTGGGGGGCTGGCCCGGTGGCACAAGCGGTTAAGTGCACGAGCTCTGCTTCGGTGGCCCAGGGTTCCCCAGTTCGGATCCTGGGCACGCACCAACGCACTGCTTGGCAAGCCATGCTGTGGCGGTGTCCCATATAAAGTGGAGGAAGATGGGCATGGATGTTAGCCCAGGGCCAGTCTTCCTCAGCAAAAAAAGAGGAGGATTGGCAGATGTTAGCACAGGGCTGATCTCCTCACAAAAAAAAAAAAAAAAGGTAAAGTTGGGAATTATTTCCAAGTTCATATGCCATTCAGCTGCGTTTTAATGAAGTTCAGGAAGTTTTATACATTGGAAGCACAGGGAAGAAGGTCCACTGGCATGACAGATTGTGGTGACAGGCACACAGATACCATATGTGGGACTCAGGAGAAAGGAACAATACGATCCTGGTTCTATACAATCTTCAACTAACCCAATGCTTAAGAGAATAGGGTAGTCTAAGAGTTTTGAGCTAAAGGAACACATTTCATAGTTTTCATGGCATTTTTATCTTTTTTCCTCTGATCCTTGCAACCCGGTAGGACAGTCGGGGCTAGTATTTTCCCCACTTTCCAAAGAAGGAAGCTGAGGCCTAAAGAAGCACACTTACCCAAGTCACATGGCTGGGGAGAGAGGAGCCAAGTGATCCCAGTTAAACTACAGACTATTGCCTGTTCATCACAGTCATGCGTCACTTAACGACGGGGACACGTTCTGAGAAATGTGTCGTTAGGTGATTTCGTCGTTGTGCGAACATCATAGAGTGTACTTTGACAAACCTAGATGCTATAGGTTACTGGACATCTAGGCTCTATGGTACTAATCTTATGGGACCACCGTCATGTATGCAGTCCGTCGTTGACCAAAACGTCTTTATGCGGAACATGACTGTATATGATATGATAAATGTAATTAATTTTTATTTAATGAAGGAGGCTAACAATTATGAAGAACAATTTCCTTTTCATAGTTTAAACTGGACCAGGTTGTACCAAAATATTTTTTAAAAATATTTTGTATGCATTTACTCTTATTTACTTCCTTTCTCCTAAAATAAAATGAGGGAAAAAAAATGTAGTTCAAGGTTCCAAATCATCAAAATCTTCCTGATTAGGTTTCTAGTTAAAAATTGGTTAAGAGAAAATTTTGAGGAAAAAAAAATCCCCAGAACTTAGGAAAAAAGTCGAAGAACAGGGCAAGTGTTAGCAAAACAATGGCCTTCAAATGACTAAATGTTTATTTAACTCATATTCACTTTCCATGTGTGTGATATACATGTGTGCACCTAGTGAGATAATGCATAGAGAATGCCCTGCACACACCATGCCCAGGTCAGATATGTGCAATCAGTGTTCATTAACGTGAAATTTTCTATTTTCCAAAGGACTCTCCTAGATTATTCAGTTAAAGACCTTGTAATGAGATCCATCTTCCCAAGTATAGCTACCGACAGAACAAAGAGTGAAGATTCAACCTGCCTGGCAGTGTTAGCAGTGAATCAGAATTTTACAAGTATGAAGCACATACAGAATTAAACAGGGAACCAATTTAAGAAGGTTAAAATTCTGCTCAGGGGATTATTATACCTGAATCAACTTGGCTCTAGTTCCCAGGGTGTCAAATGAGCATTTGTGAGTTTTGGTACTGAGCCAAAGTTCCCACTGGGCCTAGAGACAGTCCATACAATCTGAGTGTATTCGAGGCCAGCCCTACAGCTCCTACTGAAAAGTTAGCTAAGACAAAAGAGATTTCGGGAGGCAGTCTAAAGCTGTAGTACCAAGCCTGTGGTTCTCAGAATCACTTGGGAAGAACTGAGATTTCCCAGGTCCTGCCCCAGACCATCTGTTCTAAGAGTGGGGAACCCATATTTTCAAAGTAACTCCCCACCTGGGCCTAAAGGTCAGCCATGTTTGGGAACCCCTGGTTTAGGCCATACTATTTACCCATTACTCAGATACTTGAATCAAGTAAGACTGCCACAAAATCACATAGTTAGACGTGACCTTAGCCCAAGGACGGCCAATAAATGGTGTGGGTGTCCAAATGCCCCCTCAGGTAGAGCTAACTGACTCCACCTCTTTTTCTTTTCTCAAGGGAGCACTCCAGGTATCCACTACCTTTGTCCTTCATAGAATCAAGTTACATGCTAGTTAGGCTGCAATCATTTATTGAAGGTCTCTGTAAGAGACATTTTCATGAAAATTACATATGCAACTGTTAATAAAATATCTATCAAAGTTATTGTCCCCCTATCCTACTCAATGTCTTTATACAGTGTTCCTTGGGAGAAACATTTAGAATCTGACGCCTGGAAAATCTGTCTTTCCAGAGATACCACTCATTCTTCCTTTTTGGTAAGAATTACACAGCTCATTATCTGTCTGGGATGCATAAAAATCCAGGGCCAAATGTACTGCACAGTCACAGCAACTCACTTTCTCCTCCTTTCCTTGCTTTTGATTTCTTTCATTAAACTTAGGGAAGTAGATTGTGAGCCTTCTTTAAATCACTTCTGGAAATAAGTGAGGTATAAATAACTACTCTGATAAATAAGTCTTACTTGTCATCAGTGATTATGTTCTTTTAGGAGAAAAAATAGAACTCCCCTCAAAGCTGTGACTCCAAGAAATATCAACTCCAGAAAGGTTCTAGAATTGAACTCTGTACTAATTACAAAAACAAAACAACCAAAGAAATGCTTAGGTTATGGAAGTGTTTGTCTGATGATGTGACAAACCTTAACAGAAAAGAACAGATGTATGATGTGGAGCGAGTCACTGTGGCTCTCTGTAAAAGGAGAACAGTATCTTTGTTTGAAGGGATGGTGCTGGATTTTATAACTGAATTTTATTTCAGAACTCATCACTTAAACAATGAAACACCCAAATTGCTCTCATACTTTTTTTCGATAGTTGTGGTGAAATTTCATACACCTATGAAAATGTTAAGAAATGTTCACAAACTAATCTGACCACTGTCAATATTTCCTTGAAACAACGCTCAGGGATGGGTTTTGAGAGCCTAATAGCCCATTCCCCTTTCTACAAGTAAGTACTGACAAGTGATTTCCTGAAACCATACAAGACATCTCCCCTTCTCTCACTTATGCCCAACAGGAGAATCCAGAATCAGATGACCACAAGTTTTAAAATTCAAGGAAATGTTAGGGATATATCATAAATGAGGGATCCTGCAGCTAAAAAACCTTAAATGCAATTTGCTTCAACTACCCATGCAAATGTGAACTCATATTGAGTCTCAGTTATCTTTCAAAGGTAATTGATTGTACATTTTTTCGTTGGTGGGGGGTGTTTTACATCAATCATTACTATTTCTGATGACATTAAACATACATTTGGGAAACACTTCTAAAGGTAGAAAGGAGAATAAAGTCTCTCTCCTTTCCTTAGTTCCCAGTTCCTCAAGAGGAGGCTTTCACTATTGACCAGATCCTGTGAATCCTTTCACAGATGTTCTGGATGTATACAATCCCAGCTATAAAATATAAAAGGAGTTCCATTTCCTACATTACTGGCTCTCAATCCTAGGGCACATTAGAAATAGCTGAGGAGGGCCGGGCCCGTGGCTTAGCGGTTAAGTGCGTGCGCTCCGCTGCTAGCGGCCCGGGTTCGGATCCCGGGCGCGCACTGACGTACCGCTTCTCCGGCCATGCTGAGGCCGCGTCCCACATACAGCAACTAGAAGGATGTGCAGCTATGACATACAACTATCTACTGGGGCTTTGGGGGAAAAAAAAAAAAAAAAAAAAAAAAAAAAAAAAAGAAATAGCTGAGGACATTTCAAAAGTAAGGCTGCCCAAGTCTCAGAGACTCTGATTTACTTAGTTTGAGGTAGGACAAAATTTTTTTTAAGCTTTCTAGATGATTCTTAATGTGCATCCAGGATTGAGAACCACTGTTCTTAAAAAATGTAAAATGGGGGCTGGCCCAGCAGTGTAGTGGCTAAATTCGCACACTCTGCTTCAGTGGCCCGGGGTTTGCAGGTTCAGGTCCCAGGCGTGGACCTACACACCGCTCATCAGCCATGCTGTGGCAGTATCCCACATACAACGTAGAAGAGGCTTGGCATAGATGTTAGCTTAGGGACAATCTTCCTCAAGCAAAAAGAGGAATACTGGCAACAGATGTTAGCTCAGGGCCAATCTTCCTCGCAAAAAAAACAAGGTAAAATGGTATGAGAGCTTAAATGAAAAAAGAAAGAGAAAGAGAAGGTTTATTTTATCAAAGAAGGAAATGAAACTAGTGGCATGGATAATTTTATGAATAAAATAATCATGAGCGACAACATACAGTTTCTCGTTAAATACATATGAATTCACCTATTCATATCCCTTTCTAGAATTAATAGGACACTAAGAGATGATTAGATCTTTTCTTCTGCAGAAGGCGCAGTAATAATTAGATTTTGTCTTGGATGGATTCATTCAGCATTATAAATTATTTACCTACTCTGAGTTGTTCATTCATAAACAAGCCAAATTATAAAAATCACCATTGCCTGGAATATAGTAGGTATTTAAATATTTGCTAAATGAATGAAGACATCAACACTTAGTTTTCCACATAAATGTCTTGTTTTAAAAACATTGATCCAAAAGAGGCAGGGAACAAAAGTGTCTCAGAGAATAAGGGCAACAATACCAAATGAGAAGAGCAGCGAACACTCAGACTGTGCTGGCCACGTGCCCAGCACTGTTCAACAGTGCTTTCCCTGCAGTCCCTCATGTCAACCTTGCAACCCCCTTATAAGCGGGATACTATTTTTTCATCCCTGTTTTACAGATGAGGGCACTAAGGCACAGAGGGCTTAAGTAACTTTCCCAAAGTGATAGCCGCTAACGGAGTTTTTGACCCCAGGGTCTGTTCCTGCATTGGAGCAGACTGACTGAGAACGGTGAATTAGAATACTTTTCCTTCACTCACTCGGATCCTATCTTTCACAGATATCCCTTTGGGCGTGCCAATTTTTTAAAGCCTCTTTTATGCACAGTGCCATTCAAAAAATAAAGCAGGACTGCTCCATCTCTTGAAACAGATTATTTCCCCATCCAAGTTGTCCCACATGGACTAATGCAAGCACAGGAAGAAAACAAAAAGCAAAAGGTCTTCATAAAGCAGGGGAAGGAGCAGAAAGGGAGCCCGCAGAGAACCAGGGAAGCCCATGGCGGGAACAGGAATGGAGAGGCAGAGGATGGTCAGCTGGGGAACACCTGATCGTGAACATTTCAGACTCAAGCCCGTGCTGCTCCCCAAAACAGAACTCAAAAACCTCGACATTCTGAGTCACTGAATTCTGACATGATAAAGCAAAAATCAGTTACCTGTCTCCAAATCTGCAAGCTCCTGTTTTACTGTAGAACGGACAATTAGCTCGATCTTTCTCCATTACTCTTATGTCTGTGGGTGGTTCTGGATTTTGCCATGTGGTACTATTTTCCAGCTGTTGAAAATAACCATGACTTTATTGGTGGTGTAAAATTCCATGAAGAATTAAAGGTTTAAAATGTATGTCAAATATTTTGGTCAAAAATAAAAACAGATTCATTTAAGAATACACACGTTTAAGTTGTAACACACAATCAAGACCTTATATACAGTTGTCGTAAGACACGAGCTGTATGGCTCTCTTGCTCCCAGTCATCGCCCATCATCAGTCATGACTACGGCTACCAGGAGCAGTCACCAAAGTTTCCCTTCTATCCATCCATTTTGAAAAGAGTTGAAGGATTCTTTAGGGAACCACCACTGAGAGAAATCTAAGTTACTCTGAATCAAGTTAAACCACCCATTTGGGGTAAGAGTGTGTGATGCTGCTTACACACACTTGAAGAACTATAAACAAGTACCGTCCACAGGGCTGACTCACTTTTGTTCATTTGCTTTTCTTCATCAATAAACTTTCGTTGTCATTGTTGCTGTTTAAATCCCAGAGCCACAAAAATGATTCCCATACAGACCTGACTCTAAATAGCTTACCACAAAATTAACATTACTGGAAGTAGGGTTTTTAAAGAAATGTTCGCTGGTCTCAAATTCTTAATGAAAGGTTTTGAAAATACCTCATTTTCAGCCTGCTGCAGCATCTTCTGCACAGCTTCCTACAAATGGTGCAAAAATAGGACTAATGAAAATCTGGAAGTCAGGTAAGTCACACCTGGTTTCTCTGGTTAAGAATCTCATGTGTAACAACTTAAAAAAACCCATGCATACCAAAGGCTTCAGGTTCTAATTTGCTTTCTATGGCACAGATCTTCTGAAAAGCTTTCAAAGGATATATAGGTGAGAATCTTTATTCAAATAGGACATTTAATAGCTCACATTGCAAAACACAGTCTTATAATAGTTTCAGTAACAGTAATATTTAGTATATTTGAACATATATTCCACATTCTAGTTCTTACGATGGGGTATTAGTGGATATTATAAGACACAATGCTAGCTGAAACATCATAAACATTTAACAGATGCTAAATTATGACGAACAGTAATAATTAGGATTGATGAAAAATCTCAAACTTTTAAGGCAAAGGAAGCCTTGCAATATGCCAGTAAATTTTGACCTCCTTGGCATTTAAACAAGTTTTACATTATGTTTGACAGACTTCTCTGCCCTAGCTCCTTAAAGCATTACATAAAAGACTCCTATGTCCAGCTGCTTACTTGATAACTCTACCTGGTCACATAAGGGTCCTTGGAAACTTAATGTGCTCAAAACGGAACCCTTGTTCTTCCCTACCCCCACCCACCTAAATGCCCCATCTCAGGAAACGGTGCTGCCATCTGCCCACTTGTTCAAACTAAAAGCCTACAAGTATGACTTGAATTCCCCTCCTTTCTTTCCCGCCCCTGTCCATTCAGTCTACAGCTAGAGTCCCGCTGACTCTGCCTCAATACCCCCAAAGCTGTGAACTTATCTGTATTAAGCACTGCCCTCAGCCAAACCACCATCATGTCCTATCTGAACAGCAGCCTTCTAACTGGTCACCGTATTTCCACTCCTGCCTCCTTGGTCACAGCTCCCCACCCTCCTTTCTTTATACAAAAGTCAGAATGATCTGTTAAAGGTAAAGATATAAATCAGATGAAGTCACTCTCTGCCTAAAAATTCCTCAATGCCTCCCCATTACACTTAAAATAAAATCCAAACCCCTCCGTCCAATCCAGGAGGCCTTACATGATCTGACCCTGCCTACCCTCCTGACCTCCTCCCCTGCCCCTGCTGCTCTCTCCTCTGGTCTCTAGGATTAAGGCAGCCTGACCTTCTTTCAGCTCCACGCTCAGGCCTCTTCTCCCTCTACCTGGACCTACTCCCTGACATTTCTGCGCTCAGGTGTCAGCTCACACATTGGCTCCTCGGAGAAGTCTTCCTTGACCAGGCAATCTAAAGAAGTACTTCCCTACCCCAGTCACTCTATCACATGACTCTCTGCTTTATTTCTTTATAGCACTTAATATTATCTCACAGCACTTAAAATGATCTTTTCTACTTACTTATCACCTGGCTCCCCCGTCTAGAAAACTAACTCAATGAAAGAAGGGACTGTCTTTTTCGCTGCTCTGTCTCCATCTACTAGAGAAGTGTCTAGCACACAGCAGAAACACAGATTGCATATCCCTTTATATCTGCTTAGAAGCTACTTCATTTTACCCCACTTCTCCTTAATGTCTCACTAGATTTCCTTTGAAACAAAAGCCTTAGCTTTTTAAAAATAAGCCTTAGCTTTTTATCTGATGCCAGAAAGACCTCAACTGAAGAAGATTCTACTGTTAAAATGAGAATTGATTACTCTCTATAACAAAAATGATGAGCTCCAAACAATTTTCCTGCCCCCTAAAAACCTAGCGTGGTCTTGCCTCATCCAGAAAGCAGTGCACAAATGAGGGTGTCTAAAATTTGCACTGGAATTAACTGATGGCCTGAGACACAAAAACCAAAGGTCGTGGAGGCTGCTCCTACCCTACCATGACTAGGATGTAAACAAATGCATTTTCCCCATGATAAGGTGATTAACCACCCAATTTTATGCTATTCAAATTTGGCAATATTACAGAAAAGAAACATCGTGATGAATCAGTCAAGGAAAGATGAACTGTGATATCTTTGAAATAGATACACTATTAAGGAACAGAAGCAAAATATACCAAATCAATCTCTAGAAGATCCTGGAAGATAGAGAAGATATATACATACAGCTTATAGACTTTTTTTAATGCGCAACTATGTGTTAGCTATGATTGCCTTTATAGCCCAAGTTGGAAAGCAAGTCAAGATTTAATTACAAAATATTTCCTAATTCCTCAATATTTGAGTTCCTGATTTCCCTCAATCAATCAATTCTTGCTGACATGTCATAAGCGGTTAAGTCTTTTATAAACTAAATAAATGTGGAAACTGTACAAAATATTATTCTCTAAATAAGTCAACCCATATACAACAGACCCTCAGAAAAACACCATTTGGGGGCCGCCTGGTGGCGCAGCGGTTAAGTGTGCGCGCTCCACTGCAGCGGCCCGGGGTTCGCAGGTTCAGATCCCTGGCGCGCACCGACGCGCTGCTTGTTAAGCCATGCTGTAGTGGCATCCCATATAAAGTAGAGGAAGATGGGCACAGATGTTAGCCCAGGGCCAGTCTTCCTCAAGAAAAAAGGGGAGGATTGGCATCAGATGTTAGCTCAGGGTTAGTCCTCCTCACAAAAAAAAAAAAGAAAAAAGAAAGAAAGAAAAACACCATTTGCTCTAGAGTGGTACATAGTGTAAAGCAGGGGCCAGCTGCCTGTTTTTGTAAATAAAACAATAAAGTTTTATTGGAACAGAGCCACAACCATTCATTTACATATTATCTATGGCTGCTTTCACAGCACATTGGCAGAATTAAAGGTTTGCAACAGAGCATACGGACCATAAAGCCTAAAACATTTACTCCCTGGCACTTTACAGAAAAAGTTTGCCAATCCCTGGTATAAAGGGTAAGTTGGGTAAGGTTGAAGAAAAACCTTAATTTAAGGTATCTGTCACCACACAGACTCAAAGAAGAGCATCATAAGGAACCTCTAGTGTCTATCTATACTAAAAACACGACTCTTTCTAAACAAGACGACGAAGCCCAAACCCTGATATGCCTATAGCTTATTCTTCAACTCCATACAGGCCACATCTGCTCACTAAGAGGATCTGCAGTGCGTTATCCTCCTGTGACAGGAATCACCTCTCTCTCTCTCTTCTCCTGTAGCTTCTGCTCCTCCTCTTCTCTCTCTTTTCTCTGCTGCTCTTCCCATTCTTCCTTTAACTTTCTCTTTACAGGGGGAAAAAAAAACAGAAGGTAATTTTTTTTTTCAGATCTACTTTTTGAAAACATTTAACACATGGGGCAAATAAATGAAAAACTTTAACAACATTGGTAAAATGGATAATATCCTCTTTTTTAAGTTCAAGATATGTAACTCTTAATGAGAGTTGTTTTGGTTAACTAGTTAGTTAACTGGTTATCTGATTAATAGCATACCTCTTGCTCTTCCTGTCGTTTTCTAGCTGCCTCTTCCTTTTCCTTCTTTATTCTGAATTCTTCTTGCGCCTTCTGCTCCCGCAGCAACCACTCCTCATGTAATTTTTGCCTATCGATGTAATGATGGAATCAAATAAAAGAAATGGGCATTAATCTACAAACACATACACACACATATATGAGAGCAAAATGACATGTTGGGAATGATTAAACTGTCATGAAAGATATTTTCTTGAAAGCAGTTAAGTGGGGGTAAGAGGACCAGAAGATATGAGTAGCGTCTTAGAAAAGCACTAGATTTCAGCAACTATCTTCCTAGAGGGTCATAGCTTAACAACCACTACTCTCCATTTCATAGTCCATGACATCTTTTACATAAAAGAATTCCCTTTAGTTTGACCATAGTGATGTTTACGTGTCAATAAAGTGAATGATAAGTTTCAAAGCAACATCTAGTTTTTCACATTCCGAAAGTATTATCCTTCCTCTTCTATGCATTTTTAAATCGCAGGATCGCAGCACTATGAAAACCTGGCACCTTCTGCCATAAACTTTTGGACTGCTTCTCCATTCAGTTAAGAGACTCCCGTGGTTTGCCCCAAGCACCCAAACTGCCAAAAGAAAGAAAATAAAACCACATCGTGATCATGTCTTTAAAATAAAGCTACAGGTTTTAAGGCAAGACGACAAGGAGTTATAAAAATAAATTAGCGAATGTCCAGTTTAAAATGATCAATTATTTTTTTTTAATTTTTTGTTTATTGCAGTAACATTGGTTTATGACATTGTAAAAATTTCAGGTGTACATCATTGTACTTCTATTTCTGCATAGATTACTTCATGTTCACCACCAAAATACTAATTACAACCCATCACCACACACATGTGCTGAATTATCCCTTTCACCCTCCTCCCTCCCCCCTTCCCCTCTGGTAACCACCAATCCAATCTCTGTCTCTATGTGTTTGTTTATTGTTATTATCTACTACTTAATGAAGGAAATCATACGGTATTTGACCTTCTCCCTCTGACTTATTTCACTTTGCATTATACCCTCAGTGTCCATCCATGTTGTCACAAATGGCTGGATTTCATCGTTTCTTACGGCTGAGTAGTATTCCATTGTGTATATATACCACATCTTCTTTATCCATTCGTCCCTTGATGGGCACTTAGGTTGCCTCCAAGTCTTGGCTATTGTGAATAACGCTGCAATGAACACAGGGGTGCATGTACCTTTACAAATTGGTGTTTTCAAGTTCTTTGGATAAATACCCAACAGTGGAATAGCTGGATCATATGGTAGTTCTATCCTTGATTTTTTGAGGAATCTCCATACTGTTTTCCATGGTGGCTGCACTAGTTTGCACTCCCACCAGCAGTGTATGAGAGTTCCCTTCTCTCCACATCCTCTCCAACACATGTTGTTTCCTGTCTTGTTAATTATAGCCATTCTGACGGGCATGAGGTGATATCTCATTGTAGTTTTGATTTGCATTTCCCTGATAGTGATTTTGAACATTTTTTCATGTGTCTGTTGGCCATCTGTATATCTTCTTTGGAGAAATGTCTGTTCAGGTCTTTTGCCCATTTTTTAATTGGGTTGGTAGTTTTTTTGTTGTTGAGATGCATGAGTTCTTTATATATTTTGGAGATTAGGCCCTTATCAGAAGTATGGTTTGCAAATATCTTCCCCCAATTGTTAGGTTGTCTTTTCGTTTTGTTGATGGTTTCCTTTGCTGTGCAGAAGGTTTTTAGTTTGATGTAGTCCCATTTGTTTATTTTTTCTATTGTTTCTCTTGCCCAGTCAGACGTGGTGTTTGAAAAGAAAAATGATCAATTATAAAGAGTGATGTTATCTTAAAATGATAAGTGTCTCAGACATCCAATATCACAAGTTTCTAATTTACAGATGGGTTATATTTCAAAAGTCTATTAGCCAACACGGTGTTTAGAACCTAGATTGCATTTTCCCACTGAATTTGTAAAAGGAAAATGAAATACAGTTGGCCCTCCGTATCCTTGGGTTCCACATCCACAGATTCAACCAAGTGCAGATGGAAAGGCCTACAATGGCTGCGTCTGTACTGAACATGTACAGACTTTTTTTCTTGTCCTTTTTCCCTAAACAATACAGTGTAACAACTATTTACATAGCATTTACACTGTATTAGGTATAATAAGTAATCCAGAGATGATTTAAAGTATATGGGAGGATTGCTAGGTTATATGCAAATACTACACCATTTTATACAAGGGACTTGAGCATCCTCGGATTTTGGTATCCATGGGGGTCCTGGAGCCAATCCCCTGCAGATACCAAGGGACGACTGTGTAAGAAATTGTTCTATATTACTTTAGCAACATTAGGAGTTAAATAAGGTTTTATGTCTAGACTGAGGACCCAACCACAATTTCAAATACTCTATAGGAAAATATATTCCATTTGCAACTACAGATTCCAAGAGCACATCTTTTAGCCATAGTAGAGACTGGCATATTGCATATGTCAATGTTCCTGTGCATGTTACAGGGTGTATATATAGATGTTCCAGTGTGCAGAACTCTGATTTATGAATTTTCTGAGGAACATATTAATTGTAAATAAGCTGAACCAAAGTGTATATAAATTTAAGACCACAAAAAAGTAAAACATTATGAAGGTAAAATCACTAAATTTACTAAAAATAGTAACTTGAATACATTATTGAGAATTATAGAACCCTGGGCACATACCTCCATCAAACCCCTGCACTAGGAGACTTGAGCAAACTCTAGCATGGCTTCTGGCAGCATATGGCTGTGTCCCTAGGATGACCCCAATCCCCACGCCCCACATTAAAATGCCTGCCTGAGAAAGATCTACACCACCAGGAAAATGGACTATTTGCTCTAGCCAAGACCTGATGATAGGCCTCTGCCAACCCTTTCTTAGAGCATTTACTAGAAGGGGCTCATAACTGTGAATATGTGTCTCTCGCAACTCAGAAGCATCTCTCTCAAGGACCTGAGAACCATTCCTTGGAAATGTTATCATTAAGAAGGATGAGGGCTCTGTCTCCAAGTCTCTGTGGGAGGATAGAATCCTAACTTCCCTAACCGCCAGCTAACAAACACCGTGGGCCTAGTCACATTTACACTGACCAATCCTTTGCACTTTTTCACTTCTCTGACACTACTGGGCCCCCGCACCCCTCCTCCCTCATTCTCCCTTTAAAAGGCCCAAATCGCCTCTGCACAAATTGGAATGGAGCTTAGCTCATTCTCCTACTGTTAGCAGTTACTGAATAAAATCTGCTCTCATCACTTTAACTAATGTCCAGCTGTGTTTACCTTTGACCCTATATGTCTGCTTTAAAGTAGTACATAAAGCCATGCAGTATTTTCACATAATTTTCCTGTTTTTCACCAATAAAGTATTATGCAACTCATATAGGAATAAACAAAGATCAAAGGAACACAAAGATACATGTATGTGATTTAAAAGAAGCTTCTCAAATAAATGGGAAAACAAAACAAAAAAAATCCCTGCCCTATTTCATGCTATCATCTTTTTTTTTTTTTTTTTTTTTGTGAGGAGATCAGCCCTGTGCTAACATGTGCCAATCCTCCTCTTTTTTTTTGCTGAGGAAGACCGGCCCTGGGCTAACATCCATGCCCATCTTCCTCCACTTTATACGGGATGCCGCCACAGCATGGCTTGCCAAGCAGTGCATTGGTGCGAACCCGGGATCCGAACTGGCGAACCCTGGGCCACTCCAGTGGAGCGCGCACACTTAACCGCCTGCGCCACCGGGCCGGCCCCTTCATCATAACAGAAACCTATAATAATAAGAACACACAGAGTTATGACAGCCTCTCCTATCGGTTAACATTGTGTTAAGCACTAAACAGTTACCACCACATTTATTTTCCCCACTTCCATGGGGCAGGTACGATGATTGATTTTATCTCCATATTTAAGGCAAGGAAATTGAAGCTTAGAATGATTAAGCAACTTGAACACAGCTAGTAAGTAATAGGGCCAGGACTGGAATGCAGATCTGGCTGAATCCAACTCCATGTTCTCAATCATTACTACATTTGGGGGAGGGGGTGCATTTTGATAATTCCACCTATTTATGTGCTTAGGTAGATAAATTGATTACAAGAAAAGAAGCAACATTCCCAGTGAACACGCTAAATACCTAGAGAGTGTATATAAATAAAAATTTTTTAAAAGGAGAAAAAAATTTATTTTTTATTGTGGCAAAATATACATACCATAAAATTTACCACTTTAACCATTTTTAAGTGTACAGTTGAGTAGCATTAAGCACATTCACATTATTGTGTGCCACTTTAAAAAAAAAAAAAAACAACTATTCCCCCTGAAAAATACTGAAGAGAAAAAATAGCAGACTATTTGTGTCAACTTGGGATGGGGGAGGCCTTTTTAAGTCAGACACCAAGGCCAGATATCATGATGAAAGCTGACAATGTGAAAATCAAATTATGGTAAGTAATGTCATAAGCCAAGTTAGGACTGATGACAAATGAGAAAAACATACATCACACACGACAGATAAAGGATTAATATCCTTAATCAAGTAATAACATTGCTTACACAACAAACTTAAAAAAATGTATCCCAGGGCCGGCCCTGTGGCTTGGTGGTTAAGTGCGCGCGCTGCGATGCTGGTGGCCCGGGTTTGGATCCCGGGTGCGCATCGAGGCACCACTTCTCCGTTCATCCTGAGGCCGAGTCCCACATACAGCAGCTAGAAGGATGTGCAGCTACGACACACAACTATCCACTGGGGCTTTGGGGGGAAAAAATAAAATTAAATTAAAAATCTAAAAAAAAAAAAAAAATGTATCCCAAAAGAGAAAGGTGCAAGACTTAAGCAATCTACAAATAGGTAATAAAATATATAAAAAGATATTCAACCCTACTAATTAAGAAATGTACATTTGCGGTGACAGATGGAAACTAGACTTTTGGTGGTGAACATGGTGTAGTGTATACAGAAGTCAAAATATAATGATGTACACCTGAAATTTATATAATGTTATAAATCAGTGTGACCTCAATAAATATGTATTTATCATATAAAAAAAGAAACGTACATTTGAAACAATGAAATATAACTATTCACTACAGGAGTTTTAAAAATTGAGAATGCCTAGTGCGAGTGAAGGTATGGGGAGATGGGCCCCTGGATTCACTGTCGGAGGGGCTGCAAACTGCAAACCGGGAGGCCTTCCACCTGCCCATCTACATTTTACGTGTACTTATCCTTTGATCCCAACAATTTCATTTCTAGGCATTTTCCAAAGGAAATAATAGGACAATTGCCAAGGATATACAGTCACGTGCTGCATAATGGCATTTTGGTCAACGACGGGCAGCATATACGACGGTGGTCCCATAAGATTAGTACCATACAGCCTAGGTGTGTAGTAGGCTATACCATCTAGGTTTGCATAAGTTCACTCTATGATGTTCGCACAACAACGAAATAGCCTAACAATGCATTCCTCAGAATGTATCCCTGTCGTTAAGCAATGCATGACTATATAATCATGGATCATTGCAACTTTTTATATAATAGTAAAAAACCTAAATGTGAATTAATAATAAACGGTAAATAATAGTAAATTAATAGTACATAGTAAGTGAATGTTATTTAATGGTAAATAACCTGAATGCCCATCAGTAGAGAACTATAAATTATGAACAAAGAAATTATGCTACATCCATACAATGGATACTATGTTGCCATTGAAATGGTTGAATTAGGTCTCTGCATCAACACTGAAATAAATGTCCTACATTTTTAGCCAAAAAAGCAATTTATAGAAAAATATATTATTCCATTATAGAAAAATATGTATAAATATTATTCCATTATAGAAATATACACGTACAATACATCTACACTTTCTTACATTCTTAACGGTGGCTATTTTTGAGTGTGTTGAGTTTATTGAAGCTCTTTCACGCTTTACACTTCTTAATTATTTGGATTTTTTTTCAAAAACATTTATAAATTAGCAAAAACAGTGAAAAATACTTCCATTAAAAAAAAGGACAACATCTAGTTTTTCAGCTAGAGATTTAAATAGTTTATCTAGGGTATTTTGTAAGATCTATTTTGTACAAGAGTTTATAAAGAACACCCATACTACTTAGTAAAGACTTATAATACTCAAATAAAATAACTGGGTTCACAAGAAAGGTTTCAATTAGTGCTGACCTCTCTATCTCCAACTGCTTCTCTTCTTCTAGTTGTTGTTCTTCATTAAAAGTGTCCTCCTCCTCCTCCTGTGATAGTCCTGAGGGAATTTAAATGTTTTATTATATTAGCTGAGTATTGCAAAACCTTGGTTAATAATCAGGAAGAAAAACAGATACAATCTTAAATCTTGACAATTATGGTATGAACCTGTTTTTAAAACTTTCTAATAATAAGGGTTCCAACCACCCAAATTTGGTACAATGGGAGTATCAAAAAGAACAATAATGGTAGTAGATAACACATTAGATTAAAAAAATTGATGGTTCCATAGTGATACTCAAAAAGGTGGTGGGGGTGTGGGAGGGAACATCCATCCTTACAGAAGAATGGCAACTAAAATATGTAGCAAAACTTAAGTAGAAAAGTCATTACATTTGCAATCCCACTGTAAGAACGAATTTAGACAAAGTTGCTAAAAACATTGGATGAAAGCTTGTTGGAAAGAGGATACTTATTTATACCATCTCAAAATATCAGCCCACAGATGAGTACTAATTACAAAGGGGGCAACATCCTTTACAATGGAGCACTATGATTGGCAACACTTTGACCACACTGAGCATCACTAGGAGTGGAACAACCCGCCATTACAGGCCCCCTGATGTATGCAATGAGAGGTATACAGCATCAGCTTTGTGGTATTTTGCCATAAAGAGTGTAACCTGAAGCTAATCAGAAGACAGACTACTCCAGAATGCAAGGCATTCCACGAGACAACTGGCTTGAGCTTTCTAAAATAATCAATCTTGGTTTGGGAAAGTTCAAATATGGCTCGTATATCATACCATCGAATTACTGTTCCTTTACTTGGGTGCAAGTTTGGTATTGTGGTCCTTATTCTTGGGAGATGCAAGCTAAAGTACTTAGGGATGAGGGGTCATGATATCTGCAACTGACATGCAAAGGGTTCAGAAAAATTTGTACACATATATCTATCTATATGTAGAGAGAGACAGTAAGGCAAAATGTTACAATTGGCAATCTAGGTAAAGGGTTCATGGATGTTGAATGTACTGTTTTTTCAAATTTCTGTACTTTGGGACATTTTCAAAATAAAAACATGGGAAAATAATTTAATATAATAACAACTTAGATCTTCTCCTATTCAGAATTTAAATTTGAAAAGAAAAGGAGGGAAACTGAAGTGATCTTAAGGAAATGTAACAGATCTCAGGCTTGAAGGAAAAAGATTTTGTGTCTATCACATATATTGAGTATAAGTCTAACCAATACCAGTCCTAGATAATTACAATAATTTACTTTTATTAAGCAAGTAAACTTTATTATTTCAGCACCTGAAATTAAAAGAAAAATAGGTAAAAAAAAAAAAATTTAAGTTCTAACTCACCTAGAACAATACCTAACTATTCAGATAATTAAATGATCTAATGTTCGTAAAGAGCCTTCCAGGGAATCTGGCACAGAGGCTATGACTGACTGACTTACAGAGCTATGCCCATAGATTGGACACTGCCTGCACACAGCTGATACTCAAAAATATCTGTTGCCTGACTCACTCAACCCCTCATCCTCCCTCAAACCAAGCTCACACATTCTGCAGAGGTGATCACTAACAGTTCTGGATGTAGCATTTTCTCTACACATACAATCAAATATATGCAAGGATACATATAAGTACAATGTATCTATACATGTATCACACATGTAACTATACATGGAATCCTGCTATAGTTTTGCAACTTGCTTTTTTTCCCCCTTTTATCCCTGATGCTTTATCTTGCCTCTAGTGGACCAGTTTTGAACGAATGAAGAAGAGGTGCTAACACAGGTTGCAGGTAAACACACTGCTCCTTCCATTCTAAATAGTCCAAGTATTGCTACTAAAATAATTACTCGGCAACTCTAATGGTAAATAAAACCTCTATGGCTATGTTTCTCAAGGCCTGAGGTTCCTGGTTACTCGAGGCCATGGTCTATGGACTTCAAGAACTGTCTAGGATAATTTAATAAGCATATTCTGGGTAATCTGGATGGCAACCATTATAAGCCAGTACGCCTGTGTGATTTCAGTGCTTCCATCTGCATTTACAACTACTATATAATTTTATAACTAAGTTAGCAGTACTAACTTCATTATATTTAAACAGGTAGGTTTGATATAAATGTTAGATTCTCCCATGTGAAGGCCAGATGATACCATGGCCAGTACGGATGAAGGTTCCACAGTATTTTAACAGAAAAAATAGGTAGTAAATAACCACAGGGCAACAGTAGTAGTGGCATTGCAAACTCCAATCAGTATCATATTCATGCTGTGAGCATGTTTCCCATCGTCCCTAACATTACATTAATGTAGATTTGAATTTTACTGGATGTGTAACTTTACTTGGTTTTGTAACTTGTAAATATATTGTTTCATAGACAAATAACAGTTTCATAACTAGTTTTATGCTTATATATATTTAAATAACATTAATAATTTGAGTCAACAAAGGGTTTCTTATATTATTCAAGTTCGAGAAAAACTTGCAAAATGTCTGAAACTCTTGACTCCCGCTGGTTTTACAAAGAAAAATATTCACCAAATACTTACTATGTGCAAGGGCTGTGCTAGCTGCTGTAATTCATGATGCCTGCACCTGTAATATTAGATACTTTATAAATACTTACACACCATCAGCGGGTGATGATTTACCATGACTGTTTCCCCTTCTTTAGTATGTTAACATTGTTTCTGATGTGGGTCTAACATAATTTCACTTGGGAGGCAGTAGCCACAATTCTTTATCTGATACAGTACTTGGCTTCTTTCTGACACTGGGGCCTCAAGTTACGAAGGGAGTGGGGAGAGCAATTTCATTCACAGAAAACAGAATGAGTTCGTTACCCGAGTCTCTCAATCGAGCGAGTTCCTGCCGACGTTTCTTTCGTTTCTCCTTCTTCAGGGCGGCCCTGTACTTTTTGTGGCTGGAAAAACGAGACAGGCACACTCGAGCGTCAGTGGTCGCACCCGCAGCGGTGCCTCAGGCTCCCCTCTCCTCCGCGCCCACTGACAGGAAATCGCCCGGGTACTCAGGAGTAAAATCTCGCTTCCCGTGTTTTAATTACAGACCATGCATTTACCACCGCCTCGCCATTCCACGCCCAGACAGACGGCAGGTCTTCACCATCCCGCCACCTGTTTCCCTGCTCGCTTCCCTGAGCCCACGGACGCCCGTGACAGTCCGGGGCGCACTCCTGGAAGGGCTCGAGCTGCTGCGGTAGCTCGCTTGCTTGGCCCAGCTCCTCTTTCCTTCCTGCCTGCACATCCTCCATGCCCAGCCTCGGCCCGCTCCGTCCCCTCTTCCCGCCAGCTCATCTCCCCCAACCCAGCTTACCTCGGTTTCCCCGGAAACATCATCTCTTCGGGCGCAGCCATCTTGCCAGCGCCGCCACGCCCCCCAAGAGACAACCGGAAGAGGCGGGCTTAAGGGAGCGCGCGGCGGCGCGCACGCGCAGGTGCCGCGCGGCCTCTCGTCGGCGGGGAGCGTGCTTCTCTCCGGGCGGACCAAAGACGGAAGACGGGAGGTTCCTGTAGGTGGCTAGTCTTCCAAAACCCTGCACAAATAAATGTCTCCTTCCCGAAAACTCCTCTGGGGCTCCTGCCGCGCCCTGGAAGTGATTCTACCGTCCTAGCGTTTCCCCAGTGCTTTATCACTACCTCTCCCCACACCATAGTGAGGCGTCTTGTGGACAGGAGGTTCAAGTCACACTTCTCACTCTTTTCCCTTCATCCGCTCTCGAAGCCTCGTCCCACATACAGCTGCAACCCTGGCTTCCCAGTCGGACTTCTCCAGGTTCCGCCTCCTTCCATTCACACCTGTCGGCTCTGTAGGCGAACCTAACTCCTAGGGTTGCAAAGGTGCAACCTCTGCTCCCAAGGAATTTACAATCTAGAGGCCGAGAAGGACCATTACATAGATTAGATAATATGGTACAGGCAACTACGTTTACTTAACATAGTCCACCTGGGGATTCAGGAAGAGCTTTCTGATGTCTGAGTTTGAGTTTTGAAGACAGATGGCGTTTACCCAGGTGGAGAAGGGTGGGAATTGAATTGCAGGTAAATCTGCATAAGCAAAGGCACTGAGAGGTGAAACTGTGGAATCTGCCAGAACCGCAAGAATTTGGCCATCGAATTTAAAAGGCAATTCGAAAGTATCAAGGAATATAGAGGTAGAGGTGGGCTGGGAATAGGCGGGCCTAGTATGTCATGCTAAGAAGCTTTAATTACGTTCTGTAGGCAACAGGGAACCATTCAAAGTTTTTACATTGAGGCTTGTTCTGGTTATATTTGTGGTTTAGGTAAATTATTCTGGTTTGCAATATAAAGGATAAAGCTGGAATATCACAATCTAGGTGAGAGGTGACAAGGAATTAAACTGAGGCATTGAGAGTAGGTACTGAGAAGGTAAAATCAGCCCTGCTAATAATTAGACTGCGATGTACATGCACAAGGCCAGGGACAGACCAAGAAAAAATGTTTCTCCCATGGACAAGTTGCATCTGCAAAATGATTAACCCCGGTCTTTTGAGTGACTGGATAACTTCCCTAGCCTGGCTTTGTTCCTCTCTCCTCCAAATCAAAATTACTGAGACACCCAATTGCTAAACTGCCCCTGCTTCCCCTAGTCCCTCCTTGGAATCATTCAGCAGAAGCCCAAACACTGCATAAAGCCTTACCCTACTGCCTCTTATAAAGACACTTGCAGTAACACACCTCCAAGTTGACCTCGTCCCGCTCAGTGCATCAGTAATTAGGAACATAGACTTTGGAGGTGGATGGACTGGAAACTCAAGCCTTGACTCTCTGATCTTGAGTAAATTCCTCAATGTCTAATCCTCAGATTTCTCATCTGTAAAAATCAAGATAATAATAATAGTTATTATCTTGTGTGCCTGGCAATAGTTAGTGTCCCCAAAACATTAGCTGTTAGAACATCATCATCATCATAGGTGTGAAAACTTCCTGACCCCCTGATGTGTGGATTAGGTACCTGTCCTGCATGTGCTCCAGCACAAGTATCTCACCTTTTATAACACCTATCATACTATATTGTACTTTGTTGTCTACACAAATCTGCTTCTTGCACTAAATCTTAAAACTCCTTGAAGGTGGAGACTTGACACTTATAGCCCCCAACTAGAGAAAGCCTCAAGTAGCACAAAATGCAGCTGTGCAAATCACCAATTTTGCTAGTTCCTGTGACCAGGACTTATGCTGAGAATTACTGCTATTCTGAGAGTGTCAGTGTTTGGGTTGCTGTAACATTTCTTATGAATTAGACCAGACCTTCATATCAGAACAGTAAGTAAGAACGTCTTCTGGGAAGATACTCCTAATTAAAAAGGGATACAGACTTAGATTTCATTATCATTTAGAAATGAATGTAAATCTCCTTTTATAGGAGTTAGGCATTTATCTTCAACAGTTAACCACTGAATTCAGTTTCGTGAACAAGCTTGAGTTGCTCAAGTTAATTTCATTACAGAAGTTACTCTAAAAGCCAATTCCATTTCCAAACTAGAGTTACCATCATTTGAATTTGATAAATCACAAGATAAAAATAAGGTATGTAAAAATTTAATGCAAAGATACATTCTACTATGATATTCTGATAAATAGAACAAAGTTATCTTTATTCTGTAACATAACATATATTTTCTATTTTTCTTGGTGCTTGAAATACAACATCTACTTATTCTTAGGTATGTGTATTTCAGTTCATCCCCCCTCTATGGGAAAATGACTAAATTTTTTTTACATTGTCAGTAGAAAATAGCTGATTATCTTTAAAAAGTTAAAGAAAACATTTTACTTATATAAATGATGTAACAGATAATACTATCACTAAAGATGTCTAAATTGTTATAAAATGATCAAAGAATAATCCATAAATGTATTTTTCATTTATTGCAAGCATAAAGGGAGACCAAGAAAAAAAATTCTACTCTCTGAATGCCAGGTTGGGACTCTTTCAATTAATTTGGTTTTTTCTTGCTCAAGTGGGACAATGGTACTAGGATTCATTAAATAGTCGATGCAGAAATTCTCAGGAAAGAACATTTCATTTCTTGCCTACCATTAATTTCAGTATTAGTCACTAGATTTATTCAAGGACATAAAGTGAGGTCTCAAGTCCTTTCCAACCCTCATTGCTATGCCAAGGGCTTTATATATTTTCCAGATTATAACTTAGAAAGATAAAATACTTATGAATGCATATTAATGTGAAAAATGCATGCAAATCTATATTTGTACAACTGATTAAAAGTTTTCTTTGGAGGAAAGAACTATCCAGTGATAGTTCTTATTACTTGATTCTTTTGTCTAGTGATAAGCTCAAAGCAACACAACTGCTGGTGGTTTGAGAAGAAATGGTGGCAGAGTCCATATCCCCACCCAGAACCCAAACCAAAGTACAAATTTTAAAGAGTGGTTGAATTCAAAAAGCAGGAAACAAAATATACATAGGGACAAGTGTCATAGTCCTGCCATTACAATATACCATAGACTGGGTGGCTTATAAACAACAGCAATTTATTTCTCACAGTTCTAGAGGCTGAGAAGTCCAAGATCAAGATGCTGGCAGATTCGATGTCTGGTGAGTACCTCCTTACTGGTTCCTAGAAGGCTGTCTTCTCTCTGTGACCTCATATGGGAGAAGGGGTGAGAGAGCTCTCCAGGGTCTCTTTTAAAGAGCACTAACCCCATCATGAGGGCTCCACCCTCACGACCTAATCACCTCCCAAAAGGCCCCACCTCCTAATACCATCACATTGGGGGTTAGGTTTCAACGTATGAATTGTGGAGGGACCAAACATTCAGTTCCTAACAACATGAATGCATTACTATTTATGTGTTAAGTAGCCAGTATTGTTTATATGTACTAATTATATGGTAAAATTAGAGCTTATTTGCTTAAATGAACTATATCCATTTTTGATCAATAAAATTTTACATGAAAGAACTTAACCAACAAAGTTGGATTAAAAAGACAATAAAACATTAAGCAGAATAAACATCAAGTAAATGATGTTGATTCTTCTAGTGATGCAGAAAAATACCTAAAGTAATTACAACACTGTATTTTTGCTAATATCATGCCAAAAGAATTGTCCCCTAGTGAGCAAGGGAAAGACATCTTCCTAAACATTTTTTGAGGCAGATGCCTGGTTTTAGAATAGCCACCTTTACCCTGACCCATGTAGCCCTGGGAAAGGAGAAAGGGGCTGGCAGCTTGCCCTATCGTTGATGTCAGCAGATCGATTGTGCACTGGTTTGACAGAAGGGAGAGCTAAGGAGGAGCGGGTGGTTCTTTCCATTCCTGTTTCTCTAATAAATCCCTTAGGAGTTTTTTAGTCACTTTCTGATCTACATGTTAAAGGATGTCTCATTAATTTTACAGACATCTTACAGACTCAAAAAAACTAATGGGAAGAAAAAGCCAATCAACAAATATTAGTACTGTAAATTAGTATTGTAAAGAAAGGGTTTTATTATATGAAGATGAGCAGCAATTTTAATACAAAATTCTTTCTCAAGCCCTTTGACAGACCTCAAGCCCATTTTTCCCCTTCATGTCTAGGAAGATACGAGTAAAACACTTCTGGAAGGATAAAAGACAAAAAGTTTCTTGCTAGGGTATATCAGTAGCCAGGGAATTGAAAGCACCCTTTTGGGGACCATATGACTAAGGCATGGAAGAAACCACACCCCCAAGGCAGTTTCCATAACCTCTGCAAAGAAGGTGACCAAGAATTTATGATGCAAACCAGGCTACAGCGGAGCGTGAAAGAGGGTGCTGTTAGTAATTACACCAGAACACCAGGTGTGAGTAAAGCAGGCGTGGCGAACCAGGACACACCCTATCCATACATCCATTGTATCTCTAAGATATAAGGGCAAGTAGGGCATTCTGTACATTGGTGCTCGCTCCAATTTGGAAGACTCGCTGCGATAGAATTTTGTGCTAAGAGTTTGCAAGATGCCTAGGAGGGAAGACTGTGTGCCCTGGAAAATGCATATCTTACGTGTTTTCTCGTTTAAAGACAACCATGGTTTGAAACAGATTAATTCTATTAAGTTAATATAAACTTTTTTCCCCCACATTTATCCTTTTAAGAATTTTATTCATTTCCTAGGCCATACAAGCTTCCCTTTCCCAGAGAAGGCATGCACCCTAGGAGCAAATGCCTTCACCTCCCCCTTTTTTTTAGAGCAGAGATATCCCCCCAAACTTGCACATACAACTCCAACCTTATCTTTTGTTCTACTGAATTATTTATTTTTAATTATGGTAAAATATGCATAACAAAATTTATCATCTTAACCTTTTTCAGTGTATAGTTCAGTAGTGTTAAGTATATTCATCCAACCCTATCTTGCAGGTCAGATGACTAGCATGTTAATAAAAGAAATACTACTAGTTATTAATGCAATATTGAGTCTGAACACAGGCTTGTAGATAGACACATTCCAAGATATTTTTAAGCAAGGGCAACAGTGGCATGGATTCCTCAGAATATGTAGAATTATCTAGATTTTAGCCTATTGGATAAAGCGGATAGAGCCTTTCTCTATTACTGGAGCAAACGTCTTCTAAACCACTGTGTAAACTGGGAGATTTGTTGATCACCTGCCTTGCATAGAACTTCAACTAATGAAATAAAGTTCAGACAGTTTTAAAGAAAAGCCAAGAGAGTTCTGTCATTGTGGAAAAATATTATCATCATAGTCTATAAAAGTGTATAAATAATGCAAGATAATACTATAAACTACAGACTATTATATTGCCAGTCTTTTAAAAAATATTTCTGTAAATATATCATGAAAGAATTTTAAGTGCTAGGCACTTCAAGCATTTTCTTTAAAATGTTCTGCATATGTTTTCTATATGTTCAAGACTTTATGTAACATATCTGACCTTCAGAAATGCAAAAGGATTTCCAGATATAAGTAAATCCTTGCTTTCTTAGGATTAAAAAATATTTTTATGTATCATAAATTGATAGTAAATAAGTAAGCATATCTTGTACTAGTAATGACAACTAAAGATCGGGGCAAGCATACTCATTGAGAAGGCCTTATAAAAGAATACACATTCAGGTTTTGAAATAAAATATACCTAAAACCATGGCCAGTGTTCAGCCAGGAAGTACCAGTTCGGGCCCCACGGCTGTTTCTGAAAGGCTTGCATTCTGGATGGTCAGTGTCTGCGCCTTACCAGTTGTTAACTGTTTTGATTATCACCCGTATTTATAACTCTATAGAACCACTAGTTGATAAACATAAAAAGACAGCTCAAAAATGTCAGATATAAAAAGACATTACAATTACCAACAAGTTGCTATAAGAGAAACTTACGTCTCTTGCTGGTACTTGAGTGATAAACATCATTATCAATAAAAGTAAGAATTTGTTTACCAAAGAGCTTTCCTCAAAGACTGAAGGAGCATTGCCATACCAAGAAATGCACATCTATAATTATTATTAAATGCAAGTGTTTAGAATAGCCTCGTTAACAATTTTTAAAAAGCTAGTATGTATTAAAGCAAAATACTGCTGAGATATGAGCATCCTAGGGGGTCGCTTGGCTGGTCGATGGCTTGGGTTTTGCTTGTATATTCAGCACATAATCATGACGGAAGGACGAGCGAACAGTGCGATTCATCAGGGGCTGAAGGGGGCGGAAGTTGTCCACCATTCTTTTCTCTTTCTCTCCCTCAGAAGTGAAAAGCAGGGTCCGAAATTGCTCAAGCTAGAAATAGAAGCAGGAAGCAAAAATAATTTCAATAGAAAAACAGCTTTACTTCTTGAATAAATTACTTTCACCTTTACAACTCTGAAACCTTCATCTAAAATTGGATACAGAGGGGCCAGCCCCATGGCTTAGCAGTTAAGTGCTCGCGCTCTGCTACTGGCGGCCTGGGTTCGGATCCCGGGCACGCACCGACGCACCGCTTCTCCGGCCATGCTGAGGCGGCGTCCCACATACAGCAACTAGAAGGATGTGCAACTATGACATACAACTATCTACTGGGGCTTTGGGGGGAAAAAAAAAGGAGGAGGATTGGCAATAGATGTTAGCTCAGAGCCGGTCTTCCTCAGCAAAAAGAGGAGGATTAGCATGGATGCTAGCTCAGGGCTGATCTTCCTCACAATAAAATAAATAAATTAAAAAAATAAAATAAAATTAGATACAGAAGGAGAACTTATTTCTGGGTAGAAATGCATTCCCTGCTGGACAGGGAATAGAATGTCGTTGTGAGAGGTGAGTAGCAGGAGCTGGTGAGGCCAGCGGGGCACTTGGGATCCAAAGATTGGGGGTCAAAAGCCCTGTCTCCACATATTAGCCATTTGCCAAGGACGAGTGACTTCATCTTTGATTCTCAGGAACCACATCTTTATTTTTTTTTTTCCTTGTGAGGAAGATTAGCCCCAAACTAACATCTGATGCCAATCTTCCTCTTTTTGGTGAGGAAGACTGGCCCTGAGCTAACATCTGTGCCCATCTTCCTCTACTTTATATGGGATGCCGCCACAGCATGGCTTGACAAGTGGTGCGTTGGTGCGCGCCCGGGATCTGACCCCATGAACCCTGGGCCGCCACAGCGAAGCTCGAGCATTTAACTGCTACGCCACCAGGCCGGCCCCCAGGAACCTCATCTTTAAATGGGCAAAATAGCCAGCCTACAGAATAATAAAGGAAAGGTTTGATGCCTATAATAACAGTGCAAAATTATTTTTTTTTTAATTTAACTGAATCTTTAACATAAACAATGTATTCTTGATTGCTCACTGCACCTGGGCACTGTGGACAAAGCAATGCTGTACGTGGATGTCTTAACTGGCCGTGGGATACCCCCCACCGGCACTGTCCAAAAAAACTTTCTATGATGATGGAAATGTCCTCTGCATGGTTCATTATGGTAGCCACAAGCCACATATGGCTACTAAGCACTTGCAATGTGGCCAGTGCAACTAAGGAACTGAATTTTTAATTTAATTTGAATTTTAATGTATTTATATTTAAATTTAAATGGCCACATGTAGCGAGTGGCTAACATATTGGACAGTACAGCTCAATACAAAAGGAGCAACTCCAGATCAGGGCTTGTTCTTTAACTTGGCAGTAGCATCAATCAATAGCTCCTTGGCTTTCTGAGCAACCATGTTATGGAACACTTGACTTCCAGCCAGCTGGAAAATCTGTTCACAACATTTCTTCTCATTCAATCAGGGGCACTGTAGCTTGGAGAGGACAGTCTGAGGCACACTAGGCAAGCATGTGAAGATTTGTTTGGATCAAAGACTTCAGGCCAAGTAGAGCTGCAGAGGCAGGACTGTGACCAGGGGCAAGCACCAAACACAGTGACTGTGTTTGCAAAATACACATATACCCTCATTCGTTAAGAACATGTCCAAGTAGTTAAGGTTTGTTTTTAAATTTTTAAGTTAACTGCAAAAGATTACAAATAGCCCAAGTACCAATAAGTGACATTAGATCTATAAAATTGACTAGTACATAGCCATTAAAAATGATATTGAAGATAATGTTTATTATCTATAAAATGTTCCACACATCACTGAGTGAAAAAAAGCAGCTAAATGGTATGTACAGAATGATTCCACTTTGTTAAAAAATTATATTTATCTAGTCATGCGTCACTTAACGACGGGGACATATTCTGAGAAATGCGTTGTTAGGTGATCTCGTTGTTGTGTGAACATCACAGAGTGTACTTACACAAACCTAGATGGTATAGCCTACTACACACCCAGGCTATATGGTACTAATCTTACAGGACCACCGTCATATATGCAGCCCATCATTGACCAAAATGTCGTTATGTGGCACATGACTGTATTTATTGGGACTACATCAAATTTATGGAGAATAAACAATTCATGGAGAATAACGACTTAAGGAGACTTGACATCAAAGGTGTCTTTATGATGTCTTCCTATTCAATTACATGGTATGAATTTTATTAATTCAAGTGTTCTTTTGTGTTTCAGGAATGTTGTTTTCTTGTTAACCTTTCTTAAAGTTATTCCAAGGTATTTTATATTTTTGTTTCCATTATAAATAGTGTTCATTCTTCCATTATAGCTTTATATCATTATCTTTTAACCGATTGTGATTTATATATGTCAAATGTATTGATTTCTATAAATTAATATTATATTCCACTAATTACTGAATTATCTTATTTTTGCAGTAGTTTTTTATTATTTCTCTAATTACTTTTTTCTTTTCTGGTCTAATTGTATTGACTACTTCCAGAATATAATTTAATATAAAATTTAATATGGTAATAATCCTTTCGATATTAAGCACACTATTTACTCTAGAACTGAGATCAGTCTCTTTTCTCAAGTTAGGAAGTCTCCATACATTTCTGCTTTATTGAAAATTTTAAATAACTGAATGGTGAATTTTGCTAATGCCTTTTAAGAATCTGTGGAGAGGGCCGGCCCCGTGGCTTAGCGGTTAAGTGCGCGCGCTCTGCTGCTGGCGGCCCGGGTTCGGATCCCAGGCGCGCACCGACACACCGCTTCTCTGGCCATGCTGGGGCCACGTCCCACATACAGCAACTAGAAGGATGTACAGCTATGACATACAGCTATCTGCTGGGGCTTTGGGGGGAAAGAAAATAAATAAATAAAATCTTTAAAAAAAAAAAAGAATCTGTGGAGATGATTATATGATTTTTCTATTTAGATTCACTGATATGATGAATTATATTAATATCATTCTTAATAATGAATCATCCTTGTATTACTGGAATAAATGCTACTTGGACAAAGTATATACTTTTTCTAATGTACTGCTGGATTCTGTTTCTACTATACTATTTTAGCTTTTTAAAAATATATTCTTCCCAGATATCAGTCTGGAGTTTACTTCTTTTTTGGTCCAATCTTTGATGGGTTTTGGTGTCAGGTATCCTGGCTTCATAAAAAAGATTTTGGAAGCTTCTGTTCTTGTGAAAATGCTCTGTAATTAATAAAAATCCCATAAAGCAAGCATAAGCAAGTATTATTTAGTTTAGTTATATTATGAATTAAACAAGATTTTCACCACTAAAACTTAGTTTCTAAGGAAAAAGTAAATTCCAAGTTCAAAACAACTGACTTAAAATTTCTGGACAGACATTGTTGGATTGTGTCTTTTTTTTTTTTTTTTAATTTTTTGTTTATTGCAGTAACATTGGTTTATAACATTGTAAAAATTTCAGGTGTACAACATTGTACTTCTATTTCTGCATAGATTACATCATGTTCACCACCAAAATACTAATTACAACCCATCACCACACACATGTACCGAATTATCCCTTTCACCCTCCTCCCTCCCCCCTTCCCCTCTGGTAACCACCAATCCAATCTCTGTCTCTATGTGTTTGTTTATTGTTGTTATTATCTACTACTTAATGAAGGAAATCATATGGTATTTGACCTTCTCCCTCTGACTTATTTCACTTTGCATTATACCCTCAATGTCCATCCATGATGTCACAAATGGCTGGATTTCATCGTTTCTTATGGCTGAGTAGTATTCCATTGTGTATATATACCACATCTTCTTTATCCATTCGTCCCTTGATGGGCACTTAGGTTGCTTCCAAGTCTTGGCTATTGTGAATAACGCTGCAATGAACACATGGGTGCATGTACCTTTACAAATTGGTGTTTTCAAGTTCTTTGGATAAATACCCAGCAGTGGGATAGCTGGATCATATGGTAGTTCTATTGGATTGTGTCTTTATCCTGAGATTCCAGAGCAAAATCACCTGAAGTATTTTATTTTATTTATTTATTTATTTTAATAATTTTTATTTATTTATTTATTTTTCCCCCAAAGCCCCAGTAGGTAGTTGTATGTCATAGCTGCAAATCCTTCTAGTTGCTGTATGTGGGATGCCGCCTCAGCATGGCCGGAGAAGCGGTGCGTCGGTGCGCACCCGGGATCCAAACCCGGGCCGCCAGCAGCGGATCGTGCGCACTTAACCGCTAAGCCACGGGGCCGGCCCTGACCTGAAGTATTTTAAAGGGTTTTGAGCAAATCCATTTCTAGCCTTCATTTTTTCCTTTAAAAGGGTCTTCTTTAGATAGAGATTCATATTTATGTATAAAATACACAATGCATAAAACATATGTCATTGTCAAATATGGAAGTAAAAAGCTTGTTTCCTAAGTTTTAATTCTTCTCTCTAGTTCAAGTGAAGCATTTCCTAATTCATATCCAAATTAAGACAAGGTGTTAGCACATTTTAATAAAAATGTATAAGCACTACAAGATGTTAAAAACTGATGCCAAACTTGGAGCCCGGCCTTATTTTTTTTTAAGGAAGATTGGCCCTGTGCTAACATCCATTGCCAATCTTCCTCTATTTTTTCCCCCAAAGCCCCAGTGTATAGTTGTGCATCATAGCTGTAGGGTTGTGGCTCTTCTATGTGGGACACCACCTCAGCATGGCTTTGTGAGTGGTGAGTAGGTCCATGCCCAGGATCTGAACCTGCGAACCTCGGGCCGCCGAAGCAGAACTCGCGAACTTGACCGCTGCAACACTGGGCCGGCCCCCCAGCCTTGTTTTAAAGGAGAAAACTAGAGGTTTCTTATATAGAAATGTGGAAAGACCATACCTGATCATGGTCAACCTCTACGGGCTGCTTCTTAATAATCCAGGTGACGGACTCGGAGAGTGGCGGGGTAGTCAGGGACCCCGAGTAGGTCCAGTAATCTGGGCAGGTGGGCATCAGGCAGGAAGGATCAAATGACGCAAATTCCACAAGGGTGTCCTGCCCAAGAGAAAGGGGTCACTGAGTCATCATTTCATGGTGAAAGCCAGTCAGGAATCGGATAATGAGGAGATGATTCTAGGGGTGCCTGGGGACCAGCAGTGGTCCAGAGGAGCTCCAGGTACCTCTGGACACCTTGGGACAGAATCATGCCCATGCTTTGTTCTTGCAACTAACTGTGTATTTCTTTTTTTTTATTTATTTTTTATTTTTTTTATTTTTTAAAGATTTTATTTATTTATTTTTCCCCCAAAGCCCCAGTACATAGTTGTCTGTCATAGCTGCACATCCTTCTAGTTGCTGTATGTGGGACGCGGCCTCAGCATGGCTGGAGGAGTGGTGCCTCAGTGCGCACCCGGGATCTGAACCCGGGCCGCCGGCAGCGGAGCGCACGCACTTAACCGCTAAGCCACGGGGCCGGCCCTAACTGTGTATTTCTGATACGCGTCAGTGGGAACACAGCGGAAACCATTTTCGCCCTCCATTCTAGTGAGTTTACAGCAGGTGGTCTCCTCTCAACTCTTTGGGAGGCATTAGGTGGTAGCTGATGCATAAACAAAGAGGCTTCTCTTTTTCAAGCAAGACTAATAGAATTCTCCTTTCTAAAATACAACACAAATTAGGAGGAGCCAGGATCCTGGACTAAAAGGCGGTGGGGGGGGGGGGGGAAAAGAGGCAGGAGGGAGAGAGACAGAGTTGGGGGGGAGGGAGAAGAAAGAATATATGGACTTCCAGGGAGCAGCCCCTTTGGGATTCTGAATATTGAACAATTAATCTTGGGGGTTGGACAAAGGTATCTAACCTGAAGGATATGGGTAATTGTTCGTTAAAGCTGGACAAACCAAGTTTCTGCAAAACTTTTCTCCCTGCCTGTGGGAGGGTAGCTAAGAGTCAAGAAAACTGCTCTGAGTGTTTCCACAAGGAAGGAACAGGTGTTGGGAGCAGAGGAGGGGACAGCATTGTTCCAGAGTCCCCGAGTGCTCAGCAGGGACTGAGCATGTGCTCAGCATGGCAGCAAAACCAGAGTGGTCAGTGCCCACCAATGGAATTCCTTCTGTCCCCTGCAAGGTGTCCCAGGTCCAGGGCTCTCTCAACACAAGCATCACAAATAGCAAGTTGTCTTCTAGACAACTTTCGAGAACCTGAATTACACTGAGGTTAATTATATTTCCCAATTCAAAGTGCCTTGTTAGTGGCTCCACTTGGAGATTGCAACATAAAATATATTTCAAGTGATATAGGAAAAAAAATATTACCTTATGCTTAATTGATGGCAAAGTATCCACTAATTTCTGTAGTTCTTTATGTTGTTTGCCTAGCTAAAGAAGCAGTGAGAAAATATTACAAACAACTGACGTCCCACTGAAGAAACTGTAACAGAATGTGAATTAAAATTAACCACCTGGTGATTACATAAAAGCAAACAAACCACGCTACTTAAACTACACTTAAACTGGTAATTTAGAATGTTGTCAACATCACTGAATTAAATTAGACACAGAACAAGTGAGCAGGCTGTTTGCTGATGGGGTCAGTGAGCCTGCAGGGAAAGGTGCCCCTGCTCCATTTAAGTATCAGTTCTTAAATTGGAATTTACATTTATTAAAATTAAAAATTGCTCCACAGTCAAAGTAGCCACATTTCAAGTGCTCAGTTGCCACATGTGGCTTGTGACTACTCTATTGGACTGTGCATTTTTATACCATTTGAAATATACTCATAACAATCTTGTATTTTAAGCATCGTTTATTTTTATCCCAATATTCTTAGAACTTAATATTGCAATATCGTACCTTTTCATCATAGAAAACAACACGGCATTTAAAGTTGGTAAGATTTTTTTACCTTTAAAAATACCCCTATCACAGCCAAACCATTTTCTTCCAGTGCTGCGTCCTCAAAGTTTTCAAATTTGACTGCATTCCAATGCACCAAGTGCAGCTGAAACACCATTACAAGAGGGTTTGAGACAGGACCATATAGGATCACTCCAAAACAAACAGACAGCCTTATCCAACATATGATATTTTAACATGTTTCCTCACCCAAAATAAAGCCACTGAGAAAAGCATATGACAATCTGGTGCAAAATGAGATAGAAATAAATAACAGGAAGAAATGTATGCAGGAGCAGCAATGAATGTTACTTTGAAATAGAGGGATTTATTTGGGGAGAAAAATAAAAAACAAAATTATATAGCAAAGTGGGTAACATTTCAGTGAGGGAAGCAACATTTGTCCATTCCCATCCTGATTTGCATGAAACACTCATATTCAAAATCCATTTGCATCTAAAGGAAAGATGTTTATATTGAGAGAAACAGATTCTCCCAATGGGAATTAGGCGTTGAAGACAAATTTCTTTGAGGGCTAACCACTTAAAATGTGTTTCTTTTTAAGGTAACATTTAAAACTAAATTAGGGGAAAAGTTGTAAGACAAAATTCTATTTCCTTATGTGCTCCCTATATTTCCCTACAAATCATTCCTCATCCATCCTTCCTGAATGCATCATCACCCAGCCTCCCAAGTGAGGCCCTGAAGGTCCTGGTTAACTTCTCCCCCTGGTCTCCTGAAGAGGACTCTGCCTCCAAGTCCTGCTGCTTTTATTTCAGAAACGCTTGTTAAATCTTGCTCTTTTTCTCTGTGGCGATTGCTACAGCTTTTATTTAGGCTCCCACCATCGTTTATTTGGATTAATTTGACCTGATGGGCCCTGTATTTTTGCCTGAGTTATTACTTTAGGCTATAATTTGAGCCTATCTTGAATTTTGGAAGAATTCAGCTGCAGGATCCTAAGGTTTATTTCTGTAATATTATTTGAGATGAGAGAAGTTATCATTGTTACATGTATAAACTGGGAATAATCAATTATGCCCCTGAGAGAACTATTTAGCATTTATCGGAATCACATGATTCTTCCTGATAATTTCTTAGAACTAGAAACTGAGAACTATCCCCACTTCTCCACAGCTGTCACTGTCCCCGAGCTTCTCAACGTACCTCCGCGGGGTAACATTTGCTGTCCACGGTATGCTCGGAGCCCCAAGCATCGATGGCCCCCCAGTGAAAATGGAACTGCTTCAGTCGGTAGTTGTGTTCCAGGGGTCCTCCCTCGATCACTGAAATGGCACATCCAACAATTCAGGGGACAGTTATTCACGCCGTGGAGGAAAGCGGGGGAAAGGCCGAATCTGTGGGTGGACCTTCTATATGAACTGTCCTAAATGGAGCACACTGTATTATACACAAGTGTTTATAAACCTGATTTCCACGCAGTTAATACACGTATAAGGGCGAGACCTGCACTCTGAATGGACATCAAGATTTAACTACACTCCAAGCTACATACAATTGGTAAAGGCTAATTCTTGACTTATTTTTATATTCTATATTTACTGTGCCTAGTTATTTTTATATGCAATAAAATGCAAATTTATCTCAGCATATTTATCCAACCCTCTCATAAAACTAAAATATGGGGGGGGCCGGCCCGGTGGCGCAAGCGGTTAAGTGCTCACGCTCCGCTGCGGCGGCCCAGGGTTCACAGGTTTGGATCCCGGGTGCGCACCGACGCACTGCTTGGCAAGCCATGCTGTGGCGGCGTCCCATATAAAGTGGAGGAAGATGGGCACTGATGTTAGCCCAAGGCCAGTCTTCCTCAGCAAAAAAAAGAGGAGGATTGGCAGATGTTAGCACAGGGCTGATCTTCCTCACACACACACACAAAAATCTGAAATAGGGGGACAACAGATATTCTCTTCCCTTTTTATGTACTGATACTTTGCTTTTCAATTTTTGAAGATACTAGTGTTTCTTTCCCTTTCGTTGAAATGGAATAGGAAATTTGCAAGTCAAAAATTATCTCCCATTTCCCTTTGGACAGAATGAATAATGTGAGTCATCCACACACTTCACCACTGGCCTCACCATGTTGGATAATAAATACCTTTTGTTTAGCCTAGAGTTTTCTGAAACTAGTGAAAATGATACATTATAGGCAAAATATTCAGATACAAGTTTTTAAAGTCACACTTCCTCAGGCTTTGGGTGGTGCTAATTTTTTTTCCTTTTTTGCTTGAATTTGCTAAGCATATTAGTTCCTCATTTTTCCCATCTAATCAGACCCTGGCGATGTCTGTCCATGGTTAAACCAATACAACACGAAAACCGCCCATCTCATCTATCTTAATGATCTTTAGACTTTATTGCATTATTTGTTGAATTTTATATATGCAAATGATCAACTATAGTGATCCCAAGGACCAAATACACTGATTATGTCATGCAGTGGTCTGCTATGTATTTTACTGGCTTTTCAAAATATTTTACATAATTTCCTCTTTAAAAAAAGGAGTTTTGTAAGAGGTGAGTGAAGACACTAATGACCACTTTTCTTTGAGGGGCAGGGGAGGTGCAGAGAATAATACCATGTGATTCACTAAATTAATAGGAGGATGGTACTATAGTATACTGAAATAAAAATATCTTCCAAAAAATTCTTACTTTTCTATGCCAGCTCCATATTGTGAGCATGACTCTGGCAAATAATCAATCTAATCTGTTGAATGAAATTGAAGTTCTGGTCCCAAGTGACCAGGGCAGAGGAGAGGGCAGCTTTTCTCTCCTGTCCCCAGAAAAACACTGGCAACATTTCCTGTACACGAACTGTGCATCTCCTCCAAAGAAGATCAAGGCAGAGAGGAAATGTCACTGATGGGTGGCTGCAAGGGAGGGGGGCAGAACTGGTCTCCAGGTGTGTTTGGATCACCCACACTGTACTAAACACATTTTTAATTCATCGCCAACGTTTAAAGCTGGATGACTTCACATAGAAATCTACATTTGCAAGTTGAGAATGAGATGCTCTGCCCATGTTGGGCACACACTCCCACTGGGTGACAACAGGCTGGACAGGAGAAATGGCCACCCCCTTTAGATGGTCCCACCAGTTCTTCACAGTCGCCACCACTGCCATTTCTCTCAGACTCTCCCAGCCTTGCTCATTCTCATGACTTCATTGGCACTGTAGGTAATCTGCATTTGTGATCCCTGGGAGAGAAGTTAGATGCCCAGGCATCTGACTTGGGTACTTGCTAGCTAGAAAAATCATCAAGTCCCTACCATGTGCCAGGCACTATACCTGCGTAAATTGTACATAGGAAAGAGGTGAGACAGGGCAGTACTCTTCTGTATAATGTGGTTAAGAGCATGCATTTAGCAGGAAAAGGACCTCAGTTTGAGTTAATTAGCTTTGTGTCTTTAGCCATGTGTGCTGGCAGTTTCTAAGATGACTCCCAATGATCCCCATCTCCTGATATTCACACCCTTGTGTAATTCCCTCCCCTGAGTGTGAGCCGGACCTTGTGACTTGCTTCTAAGGGTAAAAGTAATAGGATGTCACTTTTGAGATTAGGTTACAAAAAGACGCTGGTTTCCATCTTGCTTGCCCTCTCTGACTCTTCTTGCTTGCTTGCTCTGATGAAGCCAGCGGCCATGTTGTGAGCTGCCCTGTGGAGAGGCCCACTTGGCAACGAAATGAGGCTGGCCTCTGGCCAACAGCTAGCAAGGAATGAAGGCCCCGAGAGAAACTGAATGCTGCCAACAGCTACTTGAGTGAGTTTGGAAGAGGATCCTTTGCCAGAGGAGCCTTGAGATGAGACCCCAACCACGGCTGACACTTTGATCACAGCCCAATGAGAGACCCAGAGGAGGGGAATACCCAGCTAAGCTGCACTCAGATTCTCAGTCTCTGAGTGTGGTCTGCCGAACTCTCTGTAAACCGGCTCTTGCCTACCTCAGGACTTCCTTGTCTGCCACTTACTTCTTGCACTTTATACACAGTAATACCTAATACAAGCATCACACTGCCTCCACCTCCACATAGACCGCCCAGGTGTCACCTCACCCAGGAAGGCTTCTCCCACCAGACCCCACATGCACACTTCCCTCACAGTACTTAGCACTCTGCATTCGCATCGTCTCTTCAAGGGGCTATCCTCCCACCACACTCTAAGGTCCTTAAAGGCAGGACCGTCCTTTCTTCCTCTTTCTTTTCTGAGTAGCTGGCACAGTGCCTGGCACTCGGGAGATCCTCAGTGAAACCAGGAACTAAAGAAATAGACTGTAAAGTGTCTGTTGGGTTTGTTAATTGAAACATCACTGGTAACCTTAGCAAGAGTGAGGAAAATGGTGGGGTCAGGTGCGGGTGGACAGGTGGATGAGAGGGGGAAGTACAGCCAGCGAGAAATGGGGCAGAGAAGGGAGACAGAAAATCATGAATTAGAAAGCAGAGCAGCCATAAGAGATATCAAGTAAATATATACTTATTTATTTGATTGTTGATATTTTATTCTTTCTGTGCTCTAAGATAAGAAAGAATTAAACTTGTAAAAAATTAGATAACAAATATAAAACACCTAGCATAGTCAGGCTTATAGTAAGCAATCTATGTAATGTTCACTCCCTTCTTTTGCTTTTAATGTGGAGGGGAAGGAGCTAGCAGAGAGAGGGATGATGAAGGGAAAGGTAATACACAGGACCCATACAAATAAAAGGAAATGGGCATGAAACTTTTTGTGGGGATGGAAACGTTCTAAAATTGGATTGTAGTGAGTTGCACCACTCTGTAAGTTTACTAAAAATCATTACATTGTTTTTTTCAAAAAAAGTAAATGTGGGACCAAAAATAGGGCAGGAGAACTTGAAATGTTTGTGCAAGCATTCTTACTAGGTTCATTGGTGATGCCCCATCAAAGTGTAAAGTGAAGTGAAGCAAGATGGGGCAGGAAGCATTCTCAGGAGAATGAGACTCATCTCTCTCTCTTTTTTTTTTTTCTTCAGGAAGATCAGCCCTGAGCTAACATCCATGCCAATCCTCCTCTTTTTGTTGAGGAAGACTGGCCCTGGGCTAACATCTGCGCCCATCTTCCTCCACTTTATATGGGACGCCGCCACAGCATGGCTTGACGAGCGGTGCATCGGTGCACGCCCAGGATCTGAACCCGGGCCACCAGCAGCAGAGCGCTCGCACTTAACCGCTACGCCACAGGGCCGGCCCCTCTCTCTCTCTTTAATGCCTGGTGACATCACTAATAAGAGTCATTTCAGAGGAGGTGATAATTTACAGGGATCATCTGTGGGACTCAGCCCAGGCATAATTCAGTGTCCTTCCCCACAATATTTTGCATCCCTCACACGTACTCATTAAAGTCCACAACTGTGTCCTATTCAGGGGAGCCAAAGAACAAAACGATGCCCAGCAGAGGGCAGTGGTATGAGATGCTTGCATACCTTCTCTAGTATCCTTTTAATTTCTGTAAGGTTGGTCGTGATGTCCCTTCTTTCATTCCTAATTTTAGTAATTTGAGTCTTCTCTTTTTTTTTATTGTGGTCCACCTAGCTAAAGGTTTGTCAATTTTGCTTATCTTTCCAAAGAACCAACTTTTGATTTCATTGATTTCTGCTCTCTTCTTTCTTATGTCTTCTTTGTGTTTGCTTTGGGTTTAGTTTGCTCTTCTCTTTCTAGTTTCTTAAGGTGGAAAGCTAGGTTATTGATTTGAGAAATTTCTTCTTATCCAATATAGGCATTTTCCTCTGTAAGTTCCCTCTAAGCACTGCTTTAGCTCATCCTGTAAGGTTTGGTATGTTTTGTTTCTGTCACATACCTTCCCCAGCCCCTTTAACTGCATACTTTATCCCCAGTTCTTTGTAAAGCACACTGTAGCAGCATTTCCTAGGGTTTTTTTTTTTTTAATTTATAGACATTGATATTTATTAGATCCTTTCTTTGCTAGAATTAAAATTGTTTCTTGTCCTTCATTTGTAGAATGTCTTTGCTTTCTTTTACTTTTTCTTTATTTTTTAGGTTCATTCACTCTTTCTTCCTTTTTGAATGCTAATATTTTGCAACAGCATGGAGAAATAGCAGTGAATAAGCAGGAAATAGGAGGCAGTCACTGAAATGTGGAAAGAGAGAGAAAGAAAGTTAGGTACTTATTAAAGATTAATAGTATCTTAAAGAAAATAATTATTAAAGCATAATGAAAAGAGATTATCTATTTTGGTCCCTCTTGACAAAACAAGTGGAAAATTAGCAACCTCTCTATAATTTTTCTTTTGTATTTTGTAAAAAGAATGTGAGACTGACTCACCTAGGGAAGGTAAGATCAAGGAATGATTTAGTTAGTTGTGTTTGGAGATATCTAAAGAGCTATTATGACGAAAATGTTGGTCATTTGCTTTCCATCTGAGATTGCCCATTTAAATGGGTGGGTAAGAATTCTTGGGTCTATTGTTCAAAAGAAAAAAATAACTAAGTAATAAAACAAAAAGCTATTTGCCTTGAATGATCTTAAGATTAACTCACTTGGTTAAGAAACCCATTAAACAACTTCCTAAAATTTCCAACTCAGTGAAGCAATAATACATTGGCAGTAGACAGTCCCTAGACTGTCAAGGTCCTTAGAAGGCTAACCAACATTTAGGATCCTCATAAGAAAAGAAAGAAGGTTGCCAGGGACCTAAATGGAATTGAGACTTATTAATTGAGAGGGCGGCTGTGCATCCAGAGTGAATGTATGGGAGTTGATATTCTATAGATTGGGTCTGCCCACTAGTCTAGTTCTAGCAGGAATAATGGTAGAGCTCTAAGGGAGACAAGTAGAGCTCACCATAGTGCAAGATGGTCATCTGGAACACAGGAATTTAGCTTGCTGTTTTGAAGATTTCTGGAATCCTTATACACAATGTAATATTATAGGCTTCTAGTTGAGATGGGGGCACACTCTTTGGTTTTGGAAAAATTAAGAGAGATACTGATAAATCTGGGAGAAAAAGGAGTAATTTCTTCTTAGTTTGAGAAATGTAAGTAAGATGTAAGAGTTTAGGGTCGTGTCATAGCATGAAGGAGAAAGAGGAAAATGGGGGGCAAACAGACACCTAAGCCCTTAAAGAGAGACTCATACTTCCTGTATCACGGCAGAGAAAGATGTCAGAGGGAAGAGAACAGAGAGATTGATCCCACTGGAGGAGCAGTCTGTTTGCAGTTAGACCAGAGGGCCATGTCTAAGTATCAGAGCATCACTAGGAAAATGCAAAGAAAACCAAGATACAGTTGAGAATCCTACAGCCAGGATACATATAGGAGTGAACACTTCTATTTATGCTTCCAGTCACACTTTTTACTTCATTAACACTTTCACAGACTCATCTCCTCATATTCATAACAGGAAACTAAGTTCCTTTAGATCAGGGTTTCTCAATCTCAGTTCTATTGACATTTTAGGCTATGTAACTCTTCGTGAATGCTGTCCTGTGTATTGTAGGATCTTTAGCAGCATTCCTGGCCTCCACCCACGAGATACCAGTTGCACCACCACACCCCAGTTGTGACAACTGAAAATGACTACAAATGCTGCCAAGTGTCCTCAGTCCCTGGGGGGAAGAGAAGGCAAAATTGCCACTGCTTGATAACCACTCCTTAAGATACACTATTTCAAATAATAATTATTTCAGACTAATTAGGACTATTTGATGCCATCAAATTCGGTTTGGAAAAAAAAAAGAAACCTGCATAGAATTAATCACATTCTGTTTTCCATAGACACTAAAAGTTTCAGGTAAACTTTCAAATTCTGCAGATTAGTTTATATCTGGGTAGGTTGGAAAAAAGAGAAGATTCAAAAGCAATATAATATTTGAATTTAAAAATCTCTTTTAAATTGTGTTTCTTTTAATGTAGAACATTGTTTAATTAAATTAATTAATTTAATAGAATTAATTAAAATTAATAGAACACAAGTTTCCATTTTTCTAATATATGACTGGTTTAATTAGTTAAGACTGTAACCTCATGCATACGTTAATATTCTTTTTGCCCCATTTCAAAGGTACTGCAATCTGATCAGCTAAATCTGATTAAATAGTATTACTATTTAATATAGACATGTCTTGTAAAGTCAGCAAGCAGAGAAAATTAGCATATTCGATACACCCATACAAAATAAATTTCGGACAAAGCTTTAAATTCACACCCTATCTTCTGTATCAATTATAGAATTTATACATAAAGATATATATATTTATTAATAAAAAATATGAGGGCTGGCCCAGTGGCATAGCAGTGAAGTTCACGCATTCCACTTCAGCGGCCCAGAGTTCACCAGTTCGGATCCTGGGGGCAGACCTACTCACCGCTCATCAAGCCATGCTGAGGCGGCGTCCCGTATAGAAGAGCTACAGCTCTACCACTGTGATACACACCTATGTACTGGGGCTTTGGGGAGAAAAAAGAAAAAGAGGAAGATTGGCAACAGATGTTAGAGCAGGGCCAATCTTCCTCAAAAAAAAAAAATTACTTCTAAAAAAAAATACTACCTATACTAACAGAAGAAAATGTGCATTAAAAACTAGAAGGAACTTTTTTCCTACATTGAAAAAGGAAGTCCAGCGAGTCCCATGCCGCTGCTAACAGGAGAGGTTCCTGTTGGCATGGAGGCAGTGTGATGTGGCCTGTGCTGACATGAAACTGTCCCTTTAACTCCAGACAAGACCACCAGTCTGGCTCTCACCTGATTTATCTGCAGAATCTTCAAACTCCACGAGGAAAGAGTACCCGTTGTTCCAGATGTGGAGGCAGGTGGTTGGGTCATAAGAGACGGTGAGCGGTTTTAAGCCGGGATCGTAGACACTGTCCCTCCACCGGATGTTGATGGGCGACTGGCGCTCGCCCCCCGGGACCAGGTCCATGCTCTCCCAGAGTGGGTGCACTAGGAGAAAGCACATCCGGGCTATCAAGATGTCCAGCATCTGGGATCACACACCAGCCAACTCCAGTTGTGGAGAGCCTGTTGAGGCTGATGGAATCGAAGAGTCTTAGGAATTAGCTGCTTAGGGGCTTAATCGACTGACTAAAGCAGAGGACAAAGCGGGTCAGAGAGCACCTTGCAGAGAAGCAGGCTTCTGCTGTCTTGTCAAACTAACGCCACTCAGTCGAGCTTCTAACTTCACCTAAACCAAGTGAGACCCAGTCCTGTGATAACAGTAAAATGCGTGGAGATTAGCACCACGTGGACACAGAGTATTCTCAAATGAGTTTCTTTTCTTTATTGATAATTTTCTGAGCCCAACCTGCCAAACCAGTTTTAAATACAAATACAAATTAATGACATTTTCAATACTGAACTTATTTTCAACAAAGGAAATGGGGGAAGAGGGGAACAATTTTTGGACAAACATGGTAAGGTTTTAATTGGTTGGCTGGTAGAAATGAAGGCTTGTGTGGCATGCATCCTATAATTCAGCTTGCTGTCTTGAAAATTTCTGGAATCCTATACACAACATAATATTATAGGCTTCCAGGTGAGATGGGGGCACACCAGGGTTTTGGAAGAATTAAGAAGGATATCCATGAATCTGGGAAGAAAAGGAGTAATTTCTTCTTAGTGTGAGAAATCTAAGTCAGATGTTCAGGGTTTTAGGGCCGTGTCACAGCATAGAGGAGAAAGGGGGAAATAGGGGACACAGAGATATCTAAGCCCTTAAGGAGAGACACAGACACTTCCTGGATCACAGCAGAGAAGGATGTCAGAGGGAAGAGAACCAGAGAGATTGATCCCATTGGAGGGATTACACTGTCCCATATAAGTGTGTATGCTGAGTTCACCTCCATGTAAGCAAACTGTGAGGATTAGGCAGCCATCCTGCAAACCTGGGTAGAATCTTAGCATTGCTAAAGTCCCTGGAGTTCTGTTTGTCACATGCATAGCTATGGACATTATATATGAAGGTGTACGTGCACAGTTTGTCCCACATGGGCACTGATGACATCACTGATGATTTTTCTACCCGAGTCAAGCACCAGGTCTTTGTGGCAAGTCCCTGATAAATCTCAGCGGACTTCCTGTGACACAGATAGAGCTGTTGAGACATCCATGCATGATGGATAGAACCCACGTGTATAATCTGGGGTGCTCCAGTTCTCTGCCCTTTAAAAACACCACAGATGGGTAGAACCAAGACCAAGAGGAAAACTAGAAGAAATATGGATGGACATAAATCATTACAATGACCCTCTGCACCTCACCCCACCGCTAAGAATGAGTCTAAGGATTTGAGAAAGTGACAAGGCAGCTGCTACCCAGTCAACGCCCCCTGTGTATGCCAGGGTCACCGGCCGTCACTTCATAAAAACAAACAAACAGAAACTTGCCTCTGGTTTACTCTTACAGAGGAGACATTTCTCTTCCTGAGGTAGCTGCCCAAAGCTGGAAGTTCAAGATCTTAACCTTGTTTTTTTGGCAAAAGTGCCCCAGCAGTAATAGACATAGAGCTCTCCAGGCAGTTTCTAGACCAGTGGTTCTCAAGGGAGGGAGCGATTCTGTGTCCCCCCAGGAGACCTTTGGCAATGTCTGGAGACATTGTTGGTTGTCACAACTAGAGGAGAGTGCTACTGACATCTAGTGGGCAGAGGCCAGGCATGCAGCTAAACCTCCTACAGTGTACAGGACAGGCTCCCACAAGTAAGAATTATCTGGCCCCAAATGTCAATAATGCCAAAGTTGAGAAATCTTGGTCTACAGCTAAAAAGCTACAGGCAAACTCAGAGTTTTCTCTTTTTTCTTTCTATTTTTTAATATAACACAGTACTCATCTCTAGAGAGGTCTGAACCCAATGTTTTGGGTTTTCTCCCTTAGTATAAAAGAACCTGTGAAGAACAAGAACTTATATTAGAGAACAAGTACTTTCTGTTTCAGAATCTAAAATGGAAAATGCATATGAATTGGTACAACACAGTCATATTATAATCGGATTAGAATGCAAATTCCTTGCAGGCAAGAGCCATATCTTCCTTCTTTTTTTTGTTGCCCTGTAGTGCCTTATTCAATATATGTCCTTTAATTTGAGTATTGATTATCCAACTGCTATTGTTGGGATAAAAAGCTGTATTTGATTAATTGTGTGATATTTTTAAACTTTTTGAAACCCCTAGAACAGCCCTGATTCAGTTTTAAAGATGCCCGGCACAAAAAGACCTTGCAACCTCTTCCCCTCTGAGATACTCAGACTGTGGATGAGGATTTGAGAATCACTCTTCGAAACCAACTCACGAGGGTCTCCTGTGAAGACCAGGGAGGAGGTGGAATAATGAGCAGATCCCTAAGACGATGCCCTCTTTCACCCTTCATCGTTACCCACTTCACTCAGGAAATGCCCAGAATCTACTCTCACACCCACGAAAACACCAGCCCAAGAAAACCGGGCCTAATCCTTCAATTGCTCTTTTATACCATAATGCTTCTATCAGTTTATGCCCTTCGGTTCACAAGTTCAGCTTCCAGAAGGTTTTCTTTTCCCCCACCCACCTCCTTCTTTAGGAACCCAGATCATCTCTCCACTAGAGGACCCTTGGTCACTGTTCCCTTCATGAAGCCAGCTTTTGCCAAGGGCTTGTTTTCCTAAAGATAAATGCACATTTTTGTTCTCTCCTCCCTTCCTCTTCCTCCATTTTAACCAAATACAGAATGAAATGATTTCTTGGTAGTTGCTCATACTTTCCCTCAAAATAGGAAGATGATTAAGTGTTCTGACCACAGAGCCTTCATTTTCAGGTTCTTCTTGTATGGGGAAAATGAAATAGAGATAGTGATTTTATCAACCATGGTTTAAGTGAGCGATGCCATGCTGTCATTAGGAAGGTATCAGTGACAAAAACCCTTTAGATTTCATAGTGAGGATGTGCTCGGTTTTAGTTATTTATTTATGTGACTAGTCCTGGCTTTGATTTATTTTGTGCTTGTACCACCCTATGTCTCCAGCCCTGGGGGTGGAGGCAGGGGGTGGGGGCGGGGAGCGGTCGTCTTTAGCTCTTGAAATGTGGAAATCACATTCCTGCCTTAGCTCCTCAGTTCCTGCTCCTCCTCAGAAATCAATTTCCCCTCATTCAGCTCAGGGCTGGCTCCCATTATCTTTAGGTCCTGGGCTTAACTGTCATCTCCTTAGTAAAATTTTTTCTGACTACCCCCTTATAATACTACCCCTCTTCTTAATTTTTAATCATAACACTCTGATCTTTTCCTTCAAAACATTTATTACACGGGTATAGTTATAATTATATGCATACGAAGGGTAGCAGAATATACCACCGTAGGGGAAGAAAAATAATTTTCCCTCTACCCTTCTAGGTCCTTAGTTGAGACCCCCCTGTAACAGAAAGACAGATTAACAAGAGAAAAAAATTTTAATTCCCTACTTACTTACGGGAGCCCACAAAGACATGAAACTCAAAAGGCAGCCAGGCAATTGAGGCTGATATACAATCCTGAGCTAAGGAAAGGGGCAGCAGTCTGGGGCTTCAATGGGGTGGAAGGAATTTCACAGGAAGGTGAGAAAAGGAAATGTATGGTAAACAGAGTTTGCTCTGCCATGCAGAAAGCCTCTCAGGTGAAAAAGTGATCTCTGGTAATAGCTCTCTTCCTGGTACAGGCCCCCTTTCTAATGTAAATTTCCCTTACATAAGGGTAACTTCTATTCTGTTTCCCGAGCTTCTCTTGTGTCCGCAGTTTCTCAAAATAATCCTTATGCCAAAGAGGCATATTTGGGGGTGGTGAAGGGGAGCAGAATATGCCACCCCCAAATATGCCTCTTTGGCATAAGGATTATGTTGAGCTGATTATTTTGGAAACACCAGACACAGGAAAAGATCGGAAAACAAGAGTAGAAGTTACTTTTTTGTAAGGGATGTAGGAGATCAAGATTTGGCCAATATATCTCTTTACCTTGATTGTTTTCTCTGACGGACATTTGACCTCCCCCACTAACTGCCTAAAGAATTTGACATGGTGGCTCCTTCCTGGAACAGATCTTCCATCTGATGGCTGTAATATAATGTAAAATAGATGTTACAATAGAAAAGGCACCAACAA